AAATTCTAACACTAAAATGAGGGGCAGGCCAGCAAGGAGAGCGGAGCTTAGTTTTGACTACAGACCTAATGATTCCAACCCCTGTGCTGTTTTCCAGCCTGCCATAGCTGCTGGCTTCTAGACTAAGTGAACACAGCAAACTTTAAACTGGGCCGAACTGGGAGATAACTGACAGAATTAACACTCATCCCATCCTGCAGAGTCAGGAGGACGTTGGGAACGGGGCGGGGGGGGGGGGGTTCGAGCAAGGGAGAAGAGGAGCTGAGCCACTGGCCCTTCAGAGGAGCCAAGGCAGGAAAACTCAACGGTTCTGCAACCACAGACGGGGCCTGCAAGTCTGGTTTTTCAGCCTATCTGGACTGGCGAGAGCAAGCCAGGGAGCACATTCGACCCTCACTCAGAAGTCTCTAGATACTTAGATTAGTGGAGAATATGCTGAAATTTCCACTTGGAAAACTGCTATTTCCTCTTCCCAACATAACAAGACCCCTGCTACTCCCTCTTCCACACCGTATGTGACACGCCAATGTACCAATAAAGATTTAGACACCAGGTCTTGTCCTTGATGGTATCTGCAGTGTAGTCAGCTGCAGGTATTTAAAGCAGGAAAGGAGGAGAAATATTTTTCTAAAATACTAATTTCAAGAACAAATCAACATCTATTATCTCCTTCATTATGTGTTAAATCGTACAACTATAAATCACCCAGCAGTGGGTTAGTCAAGGGCAGAATTACCCGGCTTGGCTCTCCTGAAGGTCACAAGAATGACATCCTGTGCTTTTTCTGCTTCTAATTTATAACTTTGCAACTGGACCGGCATTGCAGGCCCATCCATTAGTGGGGTAGCTTGCACATCTGTGAAAACTCAGCACAATGGCAGGCTTTGACACAGCCACAGGAAACGCTACCCAATCGTTTCAGAAGTTCTGTACAGTTGAACCATTTTTTAATGCACAATGATTTGAAACTGCAGTGCCCTAAAACATCTGCTAAGCTCCTGCTACCCAAGCACATGATATTCTTTCTACTGTTACCTGCCAACACAAATATTTGGTTGCACAAAACACCCTAAGAGGCACGTGACAGTGCTCAGCTTCACATTTACAAATGGACCCACAAAGGGTTGGCTTGGACCAGAGCTGAGAGCTCATGTGGAAAAAAAAAAAAAGTGCAGGGCAAAGGGAGAGAGTGGAGTTAATTTCATTAAGGTGCTGTCAAAAAATTTTTTTAAAAGGAAACATAACCGTGCAAGTAGATGTATGTGGCAGGGATCTGGTGGTGTGTTTGACTTAGTAAATGGGCCTGGAAGAGATGGCGAAAATTTAAAGGCTAGTATGCCATGTTCTAGAACAATCTGTCTAAGCCCCTCTGTGATTTTCAACTGCAAAACAAAGATAATGATTCTCATACTTTGGAACTTTTGTGAAGAATAAATGAAAACACACCTGCTAAGGCATAAAAAAACCATGGTATATGACCTCAACTGGCACATTACGCTGGCTTGGGAACATGAGAAGAGCCTAATGGCATCGCCCAGAGTTAACAATCAAAAAGAGCCAAAATTGCCCTTGAAAACCACTCATTGTCTACAGCTTAGACACCATGCTTGGTTTTGCAAATTAAGTCTCAAGGAGTAGTAGGTATGCATAAATATATTATTTATACTAACATACAACACATATTAATGTATAAATATGAAAAATATAACTTGAGCATTTTAACTGCATAAAACAAAGCAGGAAAGATAGGAAAACAAACACACTTGCCTAATATACACACGATGAACCTCATTGTAAGCAAGCTCTCTGCAAACTTCAGTTTCTCTTAGGAAGTTTTGAGAGATGCTATTTGAAGAATACTGCATCTTTTTTGAACAAAATTAAAAACAACCCTATTTTTATGTTTACGCATTATTACTGGTTTATCTTAGATTGTATGGAACAGAGGAAAACACTTCTCTCCCAGGACCCCCTAAGACTCCTGTCCTGTCCTCTGACCTCAGGAGAGAGAGGGCAGCAGAGTCAGAATATCACCAGTAGAGGTCGCTGTGCTCAGAATTAATCCCTATGAGTTTCTCATTAGTGATTATTATACTGCAGGCGGCCAAAATGGAAAAATTAATTAATTTCAAAGTGATAATGCATTTACAGCAACAATTAGAAATGTATAACTGTAAAAGAGCAACATTTAAAAGACAGATTACATTTAATAAAGTTGCACAGAACATCCAATTGTAAAATTACTGATCTGCAACAATATTCCTTAAAGAGGCACTTAAAATAGCCTGACTCCATGAAGGGTGACCTAATTACTGTAACTAAAATCACCGTAGTCACAGCAAGTCACAGCAAATAAAAAAGGGACGTGAATATTAGAATACTGCTGTTTAATACTTAAGGGAGCAGCTACAACGGAGAGGAAAAGGCAGGGCTTCCAAGCACAGAGTTGGCTTGTATTTCTCATTCCCCTGACCTCACACAATGGAACATATACTCCAGCAGCATCCTCAAAGATGAAATGCAGAACTGGCTACAAAGCACAAAGGAAGCACCAGACAACTGGTGATGGGGAGACTGGGTACACACTCAGCCTCTGCAGCAGCATCTGGAACTTCAACCTGCATGGTGGATGGGAATGAGGACACAGCCTCATGGCTGGTGTCCAGAAATACATCCGCACTAAAATGGCAGTACTGTACCCTCTGTTCAGGAAACAAATGCCTCAGCATAATACAACCAATGCCAAGCCACATGGAGAAGACTTCGTGAGGCTGACATTTCCAATCATTGAAGTCTCTCCTGCTAGTGATATGGATTTATCACAGGCCTAAACTCACATACCCAGCTGAATTCTTTCCAAAACAGGGAGTTCTAAATGTTTATGACAGAGGGGTGATGGGCTGCAAGCTTGGCAGTTCAAAGTCTCCACTTTGCTTATTCATCATCTGAGTCACATAGAACCCTAACGGCTAAATAAATACCATCAAAAACCCAAATATAGACAGATATTATTTGAGGATTTTCCCAAGAATTTAAATTAGCTTTAAATTAGCTACATATTTCATAATCTTCCTCATCTTTATGCTCATCTGAAAAAGAAGTGCGTGTGTGACACATTACAGGCGCTGTTTTCCCATCGGAGGTTCACACCGTGGCGGCCAGGCACACAGGTTGGGGGCCTCCACCTTTCCACCTTTCCAGCAGCCCTTTCCCTGGGCCCTTGGGGCTGTGGACAGAGCCATCCACCCATCCTGTACGGCCCCACCAGACTCCCAGGAGATTGCTTTGGCCCTATTTGTTGCACCTACCAGCAGCAACTGCACTTTGGAGAATACTTTGTAAGACCAAGTTACCACAACGACAAAAATAACAGCCACTGTATCAAGGAATACTGCACACCCATTATCCAACAGGCATCGTGCTAGGCACATTATTCAACTGTGCTCTCTAATATGGCAGCAACTAAGCACATGCACCTATTTAAACTTAAATTAATTACAATGAAATAAAATATGAAATTCAGCTATGTAGTTGTATTAGCCATATTTCGAGAACTCAACAGTCATACGCAGCCAGTGGTTACCATGCTGGAGGACGAGATTACAACCACCATACACATTCTATACCCATTATGAACCAAGTTATGCCTGTTATTGCCAACTCTCCCATCAACCTGTAGCACTGTATTTTGGGTCAGCAGAACCTAAGAAAGAATACTCCACCCCCTCCCTACCATCCTAAGTGTGAGCAAGCCATCCAAAGCTATGTAAATGGCAAGGCCATGAGCTGAAAGCTATATCCCTCCTACCATACAAACTGAAAAACCTAAGAGAGTGTCTGAAATAATCAACCTCCAAGAAATCCTTGTGCAGAGCCCACTGTTAGGAAATCATCAGCAGTGACAGGAAATTTCAGAAAACCTACATTTCCCTCAGCTACTTTCTAGATATCAAGCCCAGCTGGCCGTGTGGAGAACCATTCACCATAATCTCCCTCAGGTCTTAAGTAGTCACTTCTGAGACTATGCCTGTGGACTATGTGTAAGAACCACTTGAGTTATTAAAATAAAAGATGTACTTACTTGTAAGATCTTTGTAAGCAGGTCACAGATTTTGTAGACTCCAAAGTTGCTCACAAACATGATGGTGCTCAGTGGGAGGGTGTGAATACAGGAGAACAGACTGCTCAGACTCTGAGATCACCCAGAAGATGGTGGTTTGACTTGCACTACTGGTAAAAGCTAACCATCTGTTTGGGGCAAATGTGGAGTCGATGTCGAGTCTGGGCAACTAGAATATTGATGTCCACTAATAAGCAAACATTTTTAATGACCTGTGGTTGAAAACAGTTAACTTAGCAAATACACTGTATATGGTGTATCTCTCTCATCCAAACTGCTTCCTTCTACAATGCTTTCATGGACAAAGTTTCTGGATGTGGCAGGAAAATGACCATCAGAAAAGCAAAAATTTCACAACCACGTTCGTGAATACATCCAAACCTAGACACGACAATGGAGCACCCTTCTAGCCCATGGAGGATTCTCAAGCTAAGATTTATACCCAGTGAAAGAAGAATTTAGAACATTAATCCAGACTCTAAACAAAAACAAAAGAATCACATGTACTGATAACCCAACAGTCACAGATCATCTACTAACACAAAACACAGTTTTCAAGTACTATGCCCCCAAAAATTGGTGTTCAGAGTCTCTGAATCAAATATATATAGATAATTGTATTCAAAGAAAACAAACCATCACTTCCATCAACATACTTGGCCATTCTTAACACGATATGGAAAACCCCATCTTCCAAGACTCCCTTAGAGAAACAGATTTAATTTAAAGTCAGTGGCTTTCATAGGCCTGGCGATGTCATTATCAAGACCAAAGTCACCACAACAGGAAATAAGAGAACAAAAAAGGTGCTCACATGTAGATCCCTCAAGGATGCTTTCTGAGAGGCATTCAGAAGATGTCTGCACCCAAGTTTACTTACCATAGACTTGGTGAAGGGCCGTGCCAAGGTGAACAGCAGTGTGTACACCCACCAGCCGCGATGGATGGAGGAGTACATCATGTTCCCAGGATGCACCGCATTCGACGTGACACCTCGAGGGGAGAGGCGGCGGTGTAGCTCATTGGAGAACAGAATGTTGCAGAGTTTGGATCTGTTGTACGCCAGCATGGCCCAATAGTCATTTTTTGATGGAGAAAGGCGGCTAAAGTCAAGTTTTCCTGAGGAATCATTAATATCTGTAAACCTAAAATACGGGAAATACAACAATCAAGCTGTAATTCTCATATTGTCTTTTATTGTTATGAGAAAGCTGAAGAAACTAGGCAGACTAGCAAAAACCTCAATCATGCATACAGCCAGTCTGCCTTAAAAATAGTCAGTGGTGATTTAACAGTACAACTAATTGGAAAGAAAGACAAACTCAGTAAATGTCCCCCATTCATGAACATCACGGTCATGGCACATGCAGATCTCTCCCTACCCCCAAGACATATTTTTCAACAGGAAGTTTGAGGATAATTATATTAAATGGAAAAGCATCTTCAATGAAGTGCTGCTGCTTTTGGAAACAGAACAATATCACATTCCTAACCTTTGGCGGGGCTTTCCTGCATTATTTTAGCCAATGCTCCAGTTCTGTGTATTTTCATTTCAGCATCCAAGTAAATATAGATGAGCATTGCTGCCTCCAAGACTCTTTTCCAGATTAAAAATTAATGATTATAAAGGGGTTATAACCTTGGTGAGGTGCCATCAATAGTGTTATACATTTAACAGATAAATGTAAACAAAGCCAAAATGAGTTCTGGCAGAGCCTAATGTTTTTAAGTACACCCATGGCAGGGGTGCTCGCAAATCAAAGTAACTGGTTGATGTTTTATAATTGGGTCTGACAAAGTCGTTAAACACCAGCTGTTTGTTTCCTTTCTTTTCTTTCTCTGCCTTCCTTAAAAAAAAAAAAAAAAAAAACATGGTAGTGACTATCCTAAAAATTAAAAATAACTGGATCAAGATGAAGGAATTTTGTAGATGGTCTCATCTTTGTTTGAAAAGACGTTGTATTTTGCTTCATTAAATTAACTCTGGACACTAGATAATAAGGAAGCATAATGCGAGCATGCTAGAAAACAGCTATGGAAAACAAAGTAAATGGTAAAATGAAAATTGTAGAATAATCCTGTTGTTCCTTAATTTGAGCAATTCACACTGGGCTAAAACCAAGAAAACACGGCAGGGGCAGAAGTCCATGTTTTAATGGAAATTAAATATCCCCTGTACAGGACTCAGTGACATCCAATTTCTAGTGTTAAATGACATTGCTGCTTTAAAGTCATCAACAAAGCCGATGGCCAGAGAAGTCATCAAGGATATGGCAATGAGACCCTCAAACTAATCGTTGGCTGACTGTTTCCAAGTCTCTAAACCACAGGAAGAGCCTGGACTTTCAAGCTTAATTGTCTAAGGCAGTAGAACTTGGTGGGAAATTTGAAAATTTATGGGTGCATTTTTCTAGTCAAAATAATGATTGCCAGCAGGAGCTGGGGATGGTAAACATCCTACAATGCAGCTGGGTCCTGTTCAGTGAAGACTGCCCCAATGGACATTCTCATAGATGAAAACCCTGCATGTAATTATCTGAGCACACAGAGTCTAATTGTGTTTTACATATGAACACAGCTTTGACATCCACTGAATTTCCGGAGGAAATGAAGACTGAACGCACTTTCATACTGGGCGGGGCTAGCTTGGAGGGTGAGGCTTGGCTCAATGCTGGTGGCACTAGAGTGTGCAGTACCACGCACCTGTTAACACCTGTATTTGTGTGTGTCCCACTCCAGGTGATTTATGCATGGATTAGGCACACAATTATCTTTCCTGCAGCACTGCCCGAGCATTTCCATGTGCAAACATGTGCTATTTTCTTTCACATTTGTTTTTCCTTTATACTATAGTCAACCTATTGCACTGGATTAAAAAGACATTTGTGCAGGGAACTCATTATTTCTCAACAATATTTCAAAATACTAATAAGGTGTTATGAAAACAGTTGTCGCTGAAGGGGGCTATTGGAATGAGAACTCGTGACTCGTAAACTCTACCTACTCAGGGTAGAAAAGAACTCCAAGGACTTTCACAATATCTGAGAAGCATGGGATAAATACAACTAAGATCCTCTGCTTCCACCCTCTGTTCCTCTTTATCTGCTGCTGGAAACCCATTCGTGGCATGTATGGTTAGCTCAACCTAGCCCAGGAGCCATTTCTTCCAGGAAGCTCTCCCCAACTAACCATCCCATATTCAAAGGTCCCAAGGACTTCCTAGGGGGTGAGGGGATAAAGTCAAAGAAGCCTGGCAGCACAGATGGAATGATCTGTTTCCATGGAAACAAGTATCCACTCTCTGGGACCCAGGCTGTGATATCATTCCCAGTATCCAATGACCTGCTGCCCCCAAGACCAGCAGCACAACAACCTACGCCATGTTTGTGTTTTGTCTTACACTGGTGTCTCTATTGCTACCACACCAGACTGCACATCATTTCCTCGTCTGGTTCCAATACTAGAGTATGACGCTTCAGAAAGCAGAGACAGCACGAGTTGTGCGTGCTGACTAGCACAGTGCCAGGCACAGAGGAGGAACTACATATGGGATTAGAGAACTGAAGCTGTATCCTCGGTATGGAATTACACACCAAGGGCTAAGTTGCCCTTATTACAAAAAGCCTTATTTTAAGTTATGCTTTAAAGACATATTTGCTACCTGAATGGAATTCTCTATATTCTTCATTAATATTTTCATGTGCACTTACTAGTGTTAAAATGAGTTCCCTGCTTTCATTTTTAAGGATGATGCAGAATGATTTCATGCCTGAGAGACATGGGGTAGACTGAACTTCTAGGAGAGGACTCACTTCTTCCTAGTCCTAATCTATAAACAAGACTGAAGAAAAAAAAAAGGTGAGAAATTAGATGGAACCAGGTTACAGAAGGCTGTTAAGATGGAAAAGTACCAGCTGCAAACCACCTGGCCCCTCCTCTGCCAAGAGCCCTCCCCAAGGAGCAGAGCCCTCTGCCTAGGCAGAAAACCCAGGCAGGGACTTTCTGAAAAACTACTGTGTTCACCTTGAAGCTCAGGCCGCAGGAACACAACTCTTCAAAGGCTGCTCTTCTATTTTCCAGGTAAGACACTGACAAAGCCAAATAACAATTTCAATAGAATTAGCCCTTAATTAGCATGCCGGCTCTGGATGCTGACATTTGGTTATTGAGGAGACTCCTGTCTTGTATTTCTACATATTCTGCCCTTTCATTTCTCTGAGGATTTTTTTAAATTCACTAACTAAGCTAATTCAGCTGGATTATATGTAGACAAAAGCTAGTATGTTCAAGGAATAACACTAAAATTTGTGTCAGAAACTGTGTGTGTGTGTGTGTTTGTGTGTAGTGTGATTGCGCAGTACGACTGTGTGTGGGGTTATGTGACTGTGTATGTGCAGCTGCACATGTGGGTTGCAATGTGGCACCCAACACAGCTGCAGCCAGCACTCCGCTATTTTCATTATTATCCGAACACAATGCACAGTAAGAAAGTCGAGTTTCCACTTCCATGTGATGTGTTTTAGGTATGCAGGGACACAATTCACTCACTCAGGCTCCAGATAAGTAACTAAAACACAGTGAAGACATGGGAAGCTAATAAATGTTTTGCCTCGGGGCAGTCTAGTACAGTATTTTCTGCAAACATAGGACTTTATTTTTCCCCTAACAGGGAGTCTTGACTCCACTGAAGAGATTCTGCGAAGGTTTATAGAGGTAATTAGATATCAACACTTGCATTTTACACCCTCATTTAAGGCTCTGGGTCCTTGAGAAGTGAGCAAGTGCTTTCTCACACTGCCTGTGAACCAAGGATCCACGCTTGTTCCCCGGTGCCCAGGGCCGATGTGCAACTGCCAACAAGCAAGCAAGCCTGGGGGAATTAGCATTTGGTAATAATACCATTTAATAGCGTGTAAGGGATAACTGGAGAGCACACAACCATCATTCCCTCACCAGCCAGGAGTGGGCTGGACAACACATTCCAGGAAGGCCTTGTCTATAAAGTAAATGTGATCTAATTTCAGGAGGCCAAGGCCCTTCCCTTCCAAATTCATCTTTTAAATGAAATTCAGATTCAGATCTCCAAGGTAGGCACAAATTACACTGTCGTTCAAGAGAGAACAAAGACGTCACATGAAATACCATTTGAGATACAGATTTACAAAGAGAAGCCAGCAGCTGACAATTCGACATAATCTCCCATTAAATACCAGCTCATTTAAACGTATCCCGTGGTGCCCTCCACATCTGGCAAACGATTGGGGCTGGCAGATTTATTTCCAGAGCTCTCTCTCCTGCCTGCCCCCACAGTAGCCTCCCTCGATCCTGAACAGGGCCACTCCACTTTCTTTCACAAACCTGGTGTGATTTGCAAAGATAAGGCTGTCCAGATTTTGTTACCACCTAATTACTAGATGTTTCATGTCTTTTAACACGGGGGAGGATTATTACTGGCATTTTCCTTTCATTTCAGCCGTCATAAATTTAAAATGGTAAAAGTAAATCTATCTGCAATGTGTCACTTATACCATAAGCCCCTGTGTTTGGGAGTGATAAAGGGTTCAAGCTAACCCTTGGCTGGTCTCTCTCTTCCAAGTCCCAGGGGTTACATTTTATGGAAGTATGATTAAAAAAATAAGCTCCATTCTGGGTCACTAAAACATTTCAGGACTTAAGATGGAGAAGGGGGAAAAAATAGGCCTTTGCACATTATTTTTTCCCAACTACTCTAAGTACAGAATCGCCCCACATCACCCTCACACCAAGAAGATGGGAAAGAGAAATCTCCCTAACTACTACTAAATCCAGCCTCACCCAGCAAGCCCTTTGTATTTTCTGAGCACTACTCTTTAGACAAATTCTTGTTTATGCAACTCTAGAAACAAATATGCTGAAAATACGATGAAATTTTCAAATGTCTTTTAAGTCAATTGAATATTCTCCTAATGGTAATAGAAAAGAAGTGCCATCTGATGTTTTAATTGAAATTTTAACCAAAAAAGGCATGGCCAGATTTCTAATATGTTCTAACTACAGTACTTCCCTTTCTACAATTACACAGCTAATGTCTGCATTGAATTCCCTAATTTCTCATTATAAAACAATTGGATTTCATCTCACAGTCTTTAATTGCATTGTTTCTACTGCTAGAATAACTGCACATTCTTCTTGGTAAGATGTTGAAGTTGTTGAATTACAAATCAATAAAGGTCATGCCATTCAGATTTAATCAATTATTATTCCATCTCTATGCAAAATCAATGAGGAGCTTGAAGCATAGTTGTAAAAACAATCTACATTGCTATAGACAGACCTCTCAAACAATTCCCCACAATCTCTCTCTTTCTCTCTCTCACACACACACACATACACACACACACACCCCTAGAAAAATTAAGTAAACAAGGCTGTGTATATACACACTTCTCAGAGTAGGATGAATCATAATTATTTTCAGAAAGAGACCCTTGGGGGAATATTGGCTGTTGCAAGGAAAGGGACAAGCAATAAAAAATCAAATCTGAACCCACCGATGAGACTCAGAGGACACCACAACAACGCGGGCAGGGGCCGAACGGCACAAAACATCTTGAAGCAGCTGGACAAGGTAGAAGTGCCCCAGGTGATTCACTTGGAAGGTGGTTTCCAGGCCATCCTTTGTGAGGCTCCAGGGCAGAGCAAAAGCTGCTGCGTTGCACACAAGCACATGAAGAGATCTGAAAAATAAAATAGTGACTATTATGTGGACACCAGCACTATAGAATCAAGGATGATCCATGCTTCTCCAAGAGTGATCAACTCCTCTGTGCTTTCAACATGGACATGGGATACCTAGAATGTTACACAGCTGTGGCGGAGCAACCGTCCAGGCTTGTGGAAGACTCCTGGTCTCCCAGGATGTGGGACTTTCAGTACTAACCCAGGACAGGACTAACAAATGAAGATAGCTTGATCACCCCGGCTGGAAGCCAGGTTCCACCACCTAATTAACTCTGTGCCTCCTAATACATCCAATTCTTAGTTTTTTCATGTTGAAATCAAAATAACCCTTAAAGATGACATGAACAACAAAGGAGAAAACAACTGTAAAAAAAGGTCAGCAAAAAGCCAAATACGTGGTAGGTACTAGTAAATATATCAAAGGGGAGGTGATTTTTCTTTTTTGAAAGATGTATTTGTTTATTTATTTTGAAAGTCAGAGTTACAGAGAGAGAGAGAGAGAGAGAGAGAGAGAGAGAGAGAGAGATTGATTTTCCATCTGCTGGTTCATGCCCCAGATGGCTGCAACGGCCAAGGACGGGTCAAGCTGAAGTCAGGAGCTTCATCCACGTCTCCCATGTGGGTGGCAAGGACCCAAGCTCTTGGGCCATCTTCTGCTTTTCCCAGAGCATTAACAGAGAGCTGGTAAGGAAGTGGACCAGCCAGGACATGAACTGGAGCCCCTAAGGGATACTGGTGTTGCAGGCAGAGATTTTAACCTCTATGCCCCAAAACCGGCCCAGGGAGATGGCTTTTTAAAACAGACAGGCATATACTATTTGAAAGCATTCCTTTCAGAGGTCAGATTAAATCTACATTTTAGAAATAAATCTGGGAATAGAAAAGTGGGGGTCTATTATAATATTCTGCTGTATATATTCATTTTCATAATACAATTTTTAAAAATTAACGTAAGCCTTTCATGTAAATCAAAACGCTAAATCCTCATAAAGAAATTGTACTTGTGGGAAATCATCCTAATGTACAATAATAAGAACCATACAATGAAGTAAATTCAAGGCTATTCACAGTGTTTGCAATTGCAACATAAAAGCAACAAATTAGAAATGAACCAAACACACAAAATGGAAATCATCAAATAAAGTAGAAAATGCTCACATGGTAGAATACCAGGGGTTAAAATCTCGCAAAACACCCAAGTCATACAACAGAATCTACAACATGGAATGAGCATAGAGGGAGAGAATGGCAATGAAGGGCAAATAAAAGGTGAAGAGCAGTTATCCCTAGGGACAAGCAGGACCCAAAGTGAAGCAACCTGTCTTCTGTCTGAGCATCTTCGTGTTTTCCTCATTTCTTCAATAATTAACATGCTTCTTTGCAGTCAGGAAAAAATGAGATCAAAGAAATAAATAAAAGCATTTCAGGAATTTAGCTAACACCTTGACTAAGAAAAGGGCAGAGTTGGGTTTACAGGAGCACTAAGAGTTCAAACAGTGGTAAAAGAAGCTGCATGGATTTCATATTATTTGGCATCCAGTTGTAAACATTGCTTCACTGACTTACACCACGCACATGACACTATACCTTTCCTTCCCTACTCGATGATCACTGTCATGAATCCCATTATTTTCTGATATTAATATCTCTAAGAAAATAAAATAGTATCTAAGTGTATACACATCTACACTTGAATTAAGTAACACAAAATGTTAAACTGTCAAAATTTAAAATTGAAAGAAAAAATTTTAAGAAAAAACTCAAAAAGTGGCAATTATGTCCCAGTTTCAGACAAATTCCTAAGATCTTTGATTCCCATCTGTTAGATGAGGGGCTACAAATTGACAGTGCTCTGTTTACCTCACATAGCTCCCATTCCACAACAAGGCTAGTAGATAATATTTGCTATGTGTTATAGGAAATAGGATCTTTGCTATACTTTTATTTCAGTGTTCCTCTCATAGAAATTTCACAGATCTGTTACTTTTTTGCAACAATCTGGTTTTATTCTCACTCTCTTAGAAGACTGTAGCCTAACCTAAGTATGTGATAAAAGGAAGTATAAAGAAAAGTCTATATAAAAATTCAAGTTGCCACCTTTTTAAGAAGAAAAGCAAACAAAAAACCTGTGCAGGTGTTGGACACAGCTAGTTAAGCTGCTGACTGCAATGCAATGACTGCTCTACTTTCAATCCAGTTCCTTACTATTGTGCCTGGGAAAGCAGCAGAAGATGGCCCAAGTACTTAGGTTTCTGCCATCCCTGTAGGAAACCTGGATAAAATTCTAGGCTCCTGCCTATAGCTTGGATCAACCCTGGCTCTTAGGGCCATCTGGGAAGCAAATCAGCAGACAGAAAATCTCTCCCTTTGTCACCACTCATGACATCTCACTCTTTCAAATAAATAAATAAATCATTACCCAAAAAAAAAAAAAAAAAAAAAAAAAAAAAAAAAAAACAAATGACTACACTGATATGTAACTCATATTTTTACTATATAAAGAGCTTTTACAAATAAATAAAAAACACATTCCAAGAGTCTAACAGAAATACAAGCAAAGAAATTTTGTAAAAGTGCAAAAATAGACAGCAAATGACCCATAGAGGATTTGACATGTCTAACTCCAACAGTAGCAAAATTTAAGGTGTGTTTATCAAACTGGCAGATTTGATATTATTATCTTGCATGAAGCTGCTTAGAATATATATTTCATCCCGGAGATATTATATATATATGAACATTAGAAAGATTCACATAATTTTGCTGAGTAATCCTGCTTCCAAGCAATAGAGTACATGGGAAGCAGCGGAGAAGGCATAGGTAACACCATGAGGAACAATTATTATAATGTTTCAAATTACCATTGTATGATTGCAAAGGCAGATCACTGTTCAGTTAGTTTTCATGTGGTTTTTGCATTCCATACAAAAACTGCTCCCCCACTTTGCCTATTCATGTTGCAGGTCACTCCTACAGCTACCTCTCAACCCCCTTGATATGCAACTGCATTTGTAGCAGGCTGAATGGTAGAACCCAAAAGATATGTCCAATCCAAATCCACTGAGTGTGACCTTATTCAGGAAAAATATCTTCAGAAATGTATTTAAGTTCCCAATTTTGAGATGAAATCCTCCTGGACTAAGGTGGGCCCTAAATCCTTCAAGTCTTTAAGAAAACAAAGGGAGAGGAGATAGGAAGGAGAGGAGTTAGGTGGATACAGAGACTGACTGATGCATGTATGTTGTGGTTTGTCCCCCAGCGGTTCATGTCTGGAAGCTGGTTCCCAATGTGTCAGCTTAAAAATTGCTAGAACCAGGGCCAGCGCTGTGGCGCAATGGGTTAACGCCCTGGCCTGAAGCGCCAGCATCCCACATGGGCGCCGGTTGGAGGCCCAGCTGCTCCACTTCTGATCCTGCTCTCTGCCATGGCCTGGGAAAGCAGAAGATGGCCCAAGTCCTTGGGCCTCTGCACCCACGTGGGAGACCTGGAGGAAGCTCCCAGCTCCTGGCTTCAGATCAGCGCAGCTCCATCCATTGCAGCCAAGAAGCGAGTGAACCATCAGATGCAAGACCTGTCTCTGTCTGTCTGTCTGTCTCTCTCTCTCTCTCTCTCTCCTCTGTGTAACTCTTTCAAAAAATAAATGAGTCTTTAAAAAATTTTTAAAAATAAAAATAAATAGATAGAACCTTTACAAGGTAATGCTTAGTGCCAGGTAAATTAACCACTGTGGACATGGCCCTCAGAAGGGATTAAAGCTGGTCTCTCAGATTAAGTTCAATTCCTGGGAGAGTTGGCTTGTATAAAAGACCCAGTGTGACCCCTGAACTGATGTCTGTGGCCCGTCTAGCCATGTGGTTACACCTGTTCTCATCCTCAACACTGTGATGGCATCTGCCAAAAGGCCCTCATGAGAGCCGAGCAGAAGCCAGTACCATGCTTGTGAACCTCCAAACTGTTGAGCTAAATAAACATCTTTTCTTTGTGAAACAGAAGCCAGTATTTTATGATAGAAACAGAAAACAGACTAATACAAGGTACAAGGCAAAGACCACCAAGGATTGTTGGCAGATAGCAAAAGCTAGGAGAAAGGCATGGGATGAATTCCCCTGCAAAGTCTTGAGAAGAACCAACACTATGGAAGACAGGACTTCAGAATTTTAGCCTTGGGAGACATTCACTTTTGTTTTAAGTCATCCAATTTGTGGTTATTTGTTACAGTACCATTAGGAAACCAAGATAGCTTCTAAGATACTTTCCTATGGAAATATTCAAAATGCAGACTAAAGCTTATACATAACTATGAGTAATAATTATACAGAAATGAAGATCATATAATTACACATGAACGAGAAGCAACTTAAAATTCAGCAACAGGGAAACAGATAAATAAGCAATGGTTAAGTCAGAAGCTATCAAATTTTTCAATTTAATTGTAAAGTCAAGGATTATAATTTTTGTGTGGGCTTCATGCTCCTCCCTCTCAAAAATATTTCTATATATAGTCAATTAAAAAGAAAACACAGAAAAATGTTTCAACTAGAGTATGTAGGAGATAATTGGATTGCTAGTTATTTATTTATTTTCACTTTATATTAAAGACACACACATGGTGGTAGGGGTTGGGCGGGGGGAGGGAGGGAGTGGCGAGAGACAGATCTTTAATTTGCTGCTTCACTGCTCAAACACCTGCAACAGCCAGGACCAGGAGCCCAGAAACCAGTCCAGGTACCCACACGGGTGACAGGGTCCCAGGTACTGAGTGATTACCCGCTGCCACCCAGGAGGTGCATAAGCAGAAAGCTGGAGTGGCAGTGGAGCTGGGACTTGAGCCTAGGTGTTCTGACATGGGACACAGGCGTCCCAAGCTGTGTGCTGACTGCTGGGCCAATCACCTACCCTGGATTACTTACTTCCTTTCTATGGTTTTTAGTGTTTTCCTTCTGTTCTACAATAAGCACAAATGAATTTCTTTAAGAACCTGAGATATAATCCATACTATAAAATTTACCTATTTACAGCATATAATTCAACAAGTTTCAGTATTTTCACAGAAGTCCACAACCATCACTACCTTCTAGCTTCATCACACTTTCAAAACTTCAGGAAGAAACCCATAACCATTAGCAGTTACCAACCACTTCCCACCCATCCCCACAACACCATAAATGTGTACTCTCTGTCCTGCAAGTTTGCCTACTTTGGACTTTTACCACAAATAGAAGTCTGCAACATGTGGTCTTTAGTGATCATCTTCTTTTTCTCCTCGTGTTTGCAAGGTTCATCCTTGCATAGCCTTAACCAGTACTTCATTATTTTTTATGCCCCTGCAAAATGTTTCATACACCACTTACGTCCATTCACTCTTTAGTTGGAGAGTATTTGGGTTGTTCATAATGTTTGGCTATTATGAATGTTGCTGCTATGGATATTCATTTGCAAGTAATGGTGAAGATGTGTGCTTTTAGCTCTCTAGAGATATACCTAGGAATGCAATTGCTGGGTCATATGCTAACTCACCTTTAGCTTTCAGAAACTACCAAACTGCTTTACTAAGTGGCTGTACCATTCTACATTCTCACCATTAATGCAGGAGGATTCTAATTCCTCCATATTCTCTTGAATATTTGTTATTATCTGTCTTGTTTTATTTTAGCCAACTTACTGAGAAATGATATCTCAGTGGAATTTTTTTTTAGTTTTTCACTGAAGACTGATGATGCTGAGCAGCCTTTTATGTATGTGTTCACTGGCAACTCCTTTATGTCCTTTAGAAAATTTGTTTTCAGGCCTTGTGCCCCCCTCCTTTTTTACTTTTATTTAATAAATATAAATTTCCAAAGTACAACATTAGGATTACAGTGGCTCTTTCCCCCCATAACCACCTGAAACCATCCCACTCCCTCTCCCATCCCATTCTTCATCAAGAATCATTTTCAATTATCTTTATATACAGAAGATCAACATAGTATATACTAAGTAAAGATTTCAACGATTAGCACCCACACAGAAACACAAAGTGTAAAGTACTGTTTGAGCACTAGTTATAGCATTAATTCACATAGCACAACACATTAAGGACAGAGATTGTACATGGGGAGTAAGTGCACAGTGACTCCCGTTGTTGATTTAACAACTGACACTCTTATTTATGACGTCAATTATCACCCAAGGCTCTTGTCATGAGCTGCCAAGGCTATGGAAGCCTCCTGAGTTGACCAACTCTGATCTTATTTAGACAAGGCCATAGTCAAAGTGGAAGTTCTCTCCTCCCTTCAGAGAAAGGTACCTCCTTCTTTGATGGCCCATTCTTTCTGCTGGGATCTCACTCACAGAGATCTTTCATTTAGGTCCTCTTTTTTTTTTCCCCACAGTGTCTTGGCTTTCCATGCCTAAAATACTCTCATGGGCTTTATAGCCAGATCCAAATGTCTTAAGGGCTGATTCTGAGGCCAGAGTGCTGTTTAGGACATCTGCCATTCTGTATGTCTGCTGTGTATCCCGCTTCCCATATTGGATCGTTCTCTGCTTTTTAATTCTATCAGTTAGTATTAGCAGACACTAGTCTTGTTTATGTGATCCCTTTGACACTTAATCCTATCATTATGATCAATTATGAACTAAAACTGATCACTTTGACTAGTGAGATGGCATTGGTACCTGCCACCTTGATGGGATGGAATTGGAATCCCCTGGCATGTTTCTAACTGTAACATTAGGGGTAAGTCCAAGTGAGCATGTGCCGAACTGTACATCTCCTCCCTCTCTTATTCCCACTCTTATATTTAACAGAGATCACTTTTCAGTTAAATTTAAACACCTAAGAATAATTCTGTGTTAATTAAAGAGTTCAACCAATGGTATTAAGTAGAATGAAAAATACTAAAAAGAATAAAGTAGTAAGTTGTTCCTCGACAGTCAAAACAAGGGCTGATCAAGTCATTGTTTCTCATAGTGTCCATTTCACTTCAACAGGTTTCCTTTTAAGTGCTCAGTGTGCCCCCCTTTTTAATTGAGTTTTTTTAAAGTATTTAATTGTAAATGTGCTTTATATATTCTGGATACAAATCCCTTAATTAGATACACAATTTGCAAATATTTCTCCCATTCAATAGACTGCTTTTACACTTTGTTAATGTTATCACTTGTGTCATGAAACTTTTCATTTTAATGAACTCTAACTTAACTTTTTCTCTGTCACTTGTGCACAGCATCACAAAAATATAGCCTTATGTCTTCCTGTAAGTATTTAAAGCTCTAGCCCTTCCCTTTAGGTCTAAGAAATTTTCTCAACTATTCTTGTGCCTGGTGTATGCTATAAATACAATTCATTGTTTTATCTGTGGATATCCAGTTTTTCTAGAATCACCTACTGAAGATATTCTTTCCTCCCTGAATTGTCTTGGCACTCTTGTTGAAAGTCAATTGACCACGTGTTAAGAATTTATTTCTAGACTCTGAATTCTATTGTATCTCTATGTCTAGGTTTGTGCTCATGACACACTGTTTTCATTTCTGAAGTTATGTAGTAACTTTTGAAACTGAGAACTCAAGAGTCCTCCAGTTTTATTATCTTTCAAGTTAGTTCTGGCTTTTTGGGTTTCTTTGCACTTACATATTAAATTCAGAAACATTTCCAACTTCTACCAAAAGGGATAACTAGGATTTTGATAGAGACTGCCTTAAATTTTTTTCATCAATTTCAAGGGCATTAACATCATATTCTTTCCTCTGGTCCATGAACATGGGATGTCTTTAATTTCATCCAGATCTTCTTTAATTTCTTTCAATATTTTATAGCTTCCAAAGTAGAAGTTTTTCATGAATTCTGTGACATCTATTCTTGAGTATTTTATCTTTCCTGATACTACTGCAAACAGAATTATTTTCTACACTTCATATTTGGATTATTTGTTGATAATATATAGAAACAAACTGACTTTTGTTCTTTGATCTTTTACCAGACAATCTAGCTGAACTCATTTGTTAGATAGTATCCTGTAAGCTGGCTGAATTCACTAAAGGAAGAGGAGCAGGAGAAGGGTGGGTTCAGTGAAACGGACTGTGGAACAAACTAAAAAGCTGTGAAATTGATAAGTAACACCAACTAAGTTTGCCCGATCACCTATTTGCCATACATGGTGTCCTCCACAGTTATCAATACACACCTCCCAGTGGTCCAGTCACTTTCTAAAGAGGGAGGCACAAATGCTTTGAGGCAACTAGTCTACCATCAGCACTCATCAAGCCTGCTTTAAAATCAGAGCAGAATCTATTGATACATAGCTGAGATAATCCATGTTTTGTAATAGGATAGGACCACTGGAAATAAAAACAGGAAAAAAGACAAGATCACATTTCAGTTCCTTTCATGTGGCATCTCAAATATTTGTTACAATTTTCCAGAGTTATTTTTTTTTCTTTTTCCATGTATTAACTATGATTTGGTCAACTTCTCAGTTTCATGTATATCTCATTTAATCTTCCTAAGAAAACTAATTAACATGTATTATTGTTGCCATTTTAAAGAGGAGAAAACAAGGGGCCAGCAGCAAACTTCTGAAGGTCACCAGTAAAGTACAGGAAATAGTCAAAATAAATAAATGAGAAAATAAAAGGATAGGAACAAAGCTTTTCAAAACTAAAGAGTCATATGACTTCAAGGTCACTATGTAATACCTTCTCTCTTAGATAAGCAAATCAATAGATGGCCTCAAGTGCTGAGAAATTCTTGCTCCGCCTGGTCACTACTTATGTGATCCTCAGCCAGTTTGCTAACCTCTATGAACCTGCTTTTTCCCTAGTAAACTGGAAGCAGCAAGAATACACCCAAGCTTGTCATGAGTCTAACCCCAGTATCTTGTCATCCTGCCAGGTTAAATAATTGCAGCTTCCTTTTCTCTATACCCTTCCCTTTTATCCACAAGAAGACATTAAATTCTTCAAAGCTGATTTCTGACTTCAAGAGAGGCCTGGGGATTTGTAATTTTGACAGCATGCCTCACTAACAACCCCTCTCTAGCTACCATTATTCTTGTCTTACACTTTGCCAGGGAAATGTAAACCCCATCAAACAAAGCAACTTGCTACCAAAGACCTCAGCCTAAAGGCATGAACCCACAGAGATCCTCAAAAATCCTTTCCTCTCTCACCAAATTTTAATACCCTTCATTAATGCTAATTGCACAACACCAGAGGCAAAATATGCACCCTATACCTAAAACCTGTCACCTCTATTAATTAAAAACAGGCTTATGGAATATGATACCATAAAGTGTTTGACTTTTTTTTAATTGTAAAGACACCTAATTGGCTTGTACAAAAGGAAAAGAAACCCTTTTGCTTCACTTTAATGAGGTTTTTATTATTCAAATGGCACATTTTGCTCAGTTTTGACTAAAAGGCTTGCAATTCAAAAGGTTCTGAGATGAATATTTACAGAATATCAAAAGGAAAGTTCAAACTATAAAGACAGAATGGAAACAAAAATAGCACCCTTCCAAGTCCAAAGTTGATGTATTTATTAGTCAGCTCTTTAAAGGACTGATCTTTTTTCTTCCCTGGTGGATTCTGATCTGTGAAGGGTGACTGAGGGCAGCAAAGGGTACATACTGTGGGTAGGCTGGAGACTCCATTAGAGGGAAGCCTGCATGTCCTCTGTAAATTCTCACAGTGTACAGAAAGCAGCAGTCCCCTCCACTATGGCCAGTGCCTTCCTTAAGGGACAGAAAATGACTTCAAAAGTTAAAGTGGGTTGGGTTCTAATTATTTCCTTGTGCTATACTGTCTGCCCTAAGTGGAAGCAACTGTGGGCCGAGATTCACAATGCTATATCCAGACTTTGATTGCTTGACCTCAAGTAGTCCATCACACCAGAAAGGGACCTGGCTGGCGGCAGTCAGCGTAAGAGGGTCCGATTTCAAACACTGTCACTAGCTTTCAGACAGCTGATCCTTAAGTTTCCTTCAAGAGCCCCCGTGACAGCTCCCTTTCTGGCATCTTCCTTCTTCACTTCTCTACTAGCTCACTCTTGCTGTACATCTTAGTCAAATCATTCTGACCATCAAATAGAAGAAAAATCAAGAAAGAAAACAAACGGGGGTGGGGGGCAGTGAGCTGGGAATATGAAGACAACTACTTGACAATCGAGCTCTTTCAAGATTCATCAGCCTCTCTCTTCCCATTTGTGATCTACAGTTTAGAAATATTCTCTTTTTGCTCCAAACATACTCCTCATTACCAAGCCAACTGAATTCTTCTCACCACCAATCAGAATCTCTCAAAGCTTCCTGGACAACATCGTCTTCACAACCAGTCAATCTAACAACATCCCATCCCCTCTGCTAGTCTAGGCTTCTCTAGCACAATAAACCCACCCACACACATACACACACACACCCCTCCTGATTCTTGGCCGTTTCTCTATCTCTACCTCTGGGCTTTAGTCCCCTCCTGGACATCCTACTGGCACTGCATTTTCAGCATCTGTCTCCTCCAGTCCTTCCTCTTCTGCCAATAGGTTTATTTTAATCCTCTGAAGCCCAGAGGCCCCCTTTACATACTCTTAGCTTATAGTTCTTCTGTCTTCCCTTGGACTGGGAGTTAATCCCCTACTAAAAATTAGGTTATTAAATTAAGGGAGTAGCACAAGGGTAAGGGCTTCCCATAAGACCACAGTCACCAAGACTCAGGATTCAATAGTTAACAGTCAATGCTAACCTCTGTTCTGACCCTTTTGCAGATCCTGATCAAACAAGGTAATAACACCCAGTCTACCCTTAGAGACCACATAGATCAGAGTCAATCCTTAGGATTACAGAAGAAACACATTGGCCCCTATCAATGACTAATTAAAGAAAAGCCACAAGCTCATTCCTCACTGGTCTCTAAGAATCACTACCTTTCATCTCATGGAGAGTTCTGGAATTCAAAGATAGCTGTCCGACTTCTCGCTCTACATATTGCAAATCACTGCTTTCTTCCAGCAACTTGGTGTCTGCAATTGGCTTGCTGTGCGCTGGATATCAAGACATTTTGGGGTTGTTCAAAAACATTGTCAATGGGAACCCTAGTCCTCCCCACAGCAATTTCATCTAGTGCCTTTCTAGATCATGCTAACCAAAAGCACACTCCTCCTCTGAATGTGTTTAATATATTTTTTTTTTAACAGGCAGAGTGGACAGTGAGAGAGAGAGACAGAAAGAAAGGTCTTCCTTTGCCGTTGGTTCACCCTCCAATGGCCGCCGCAGCCAGTGAGCCGCGGCCAGTGCACCGCGCTGATCCGAAGGCAGGAGCCAGGTGCTCCTCCTGGTCTCCCATGGGGTGCAGGGCCCAAGCACCTGGGCCATCCTCCACTGCACTCCCTGGCCACAGCAGAGAGCTGGCCTGGAAGAGAGGCAACCGGGACAGAATCTGGCACCCCGACCAGGACTAGAACCTGGTGTGCTGGCGCCGCTAGGCGGAGGATTAGCCTATTGAGCCGCGGCACCGGCCTAATATTTTTAATCTGTATCATTCCTCAGGCAATTGCTCAAGAGCATCTGAAAATTCTACACTGAAACAAAGCTCCTTCCATATATAATTTTAGGAGCTACTTAAAAGTGTTGTAATAGATGGGGTGGAGTCCCACAGTTTTGCCATCATGTAAAACTGGGCAAAATTCTTTGGTCATAGATAATATTCCATAAACACATCTATTTGGTTACACAGACTTCAAAGATTTGAAGCATGAGAGGGCTTTACTTTTTCTTTGCTTGGGGACTTCAGGTGATCTCAGAAAACATGCTAAATAGTAACATCACCACCTCACAGATGTGAATCTGGGGTTCCAAAACATTTCTTGCCAATGATTGAAGGAGCCAGAACTCGAATTCATGACTACTGGCCAATGAAATATTTCCTGAACCATGAGAATACACAGGTTGTAAAACCAGAGAGTGGCAGTGTTTACTCCAGTAGGGCTACTAGTGTGCACACAGGCTATGGTCTATCAGTGCTCGCTTGTATTTCTACAAGCAGCAGCCCTCTAATACAGCATTAACAAAGTAGAATAAAATCAGACGCTTGAACTTCGGCCCATCTTCAGTCTGGCTCTCCTTCACGGAATTTTAAGGATAGAGACTTCTGGACAGCAATGAAGTTGACTTTTGTATTTCAATGCTTTCTGCTCCCTGCTCACATACTCATCTCCAGCACTGCATGCCTTCCTTCAGTTGTCCACTAAGAAGAATCTGACAGGGTCCCTCCCTCTGTCCCAGCTGTCCTTTCTATATGGCATAGCCCTTCTGACCTCTCAAGGGTGGCACAGAAAACTCTTCTTTCTTCCAAGAATCCTTGCCTTCCTCTGCTTCTAGAAGGTTAGCACTATGTATCTCTTAGAAAGTTCTTAAACACCTTCCCTAAACAATTTACCAGGTCGACATTGTTTTGGATGACAGGAAGACAAACCCAACCAAAGCTGTCGCTCCCCCTCTTCGTGGAGGAACGACACAGGACCCTGCGCTGTTCTTTCTGTCTGCTCGGCCCTCCCCGGGTTTGCTGCTGGTTCTTCCCGGGTTGGCTACTATCCCTTCCACCTCCGTGGAAGGGCAGTTCCCCCTGGCCACATTCCCCACTTCCGCAGGGGAGCGGCACACCGCCGGCCGGTTCTCTGGGGGGCTGCACGGGTGTTCCTTCAGCTAGATGTTCCCCTTAGATGTTCCCCATAGATGTTCCTGGTGCATGCCGTCTCTCTCCTCCTTTATAGTCCTCCTCCGCCAATCCCAACTCGGCTGCCCACACGCCGAGTACGCTGCTCTCCTCCAATCAGGAGCAAGTCCTACAGTTTATTAGCTGAACTGGAGGCAGCTGTGTGGAAGCTGTTTACTTCTCTCCCAGCGCCATATTGTGGGAGAGCAGATGCATAGAATAAGTCTTAATTTCAGTAACTCAGTCCAGTCCGGGCTGCTCCCCACAAAAGCACTTGAGTTCCTTCAACTTATTTCCAGACAGTTATGTAACACAGGACACCAGCTATTCCCCAATTTCCCATCAAGGCACTGAGCTACTAATGATGCTGAGCTGAGTGTGGCCAGGACCAAAGCAGTATCCTTAACAAACAGCCAATGTCGTGCTCAATCCTTCTGATTCTCATGTGTTTAGCCTTCTGCTTAGCATCAACTGGCAACAACCCAATCCCAGTACATCCCAAGTGTTTACTGTAAACTGAACATCCACCTCTGAGGTATGATACGCATCTCCCTGGAGGCTTGGCCTTCATTTCTGTCTGGGACATGTCCATTCCTACATTACATAACACTTTCTATCATACATCACAATCTGTTTGTACAAATGTTTTATCTACTAGAAGAAAACAAACAATGCCCATCAAGAAGGGAGTCTCTGCTTACCCAGGCTCCCCATTTAATAAGAAGTAAGACTTTTGGAAATGGATGAATTGATACATTTAAATCAACACTAGGTCATTACATAGCCATGTTTTACAAAACAAAAATTTATTACCTAAAAAATAGGGAGGAAGGAGAAAGTTGATTTGGTTCTAGCTGACTAATAAAACCATTATATATTATAAATATAAATATATTATAAATCTTGTGCTTTGGGCATAAGATCAGCCAATTATGACCCAAGGAGCCCAAAAATTAGACATGTAATTTCAAATCTAAGAAGAAGGGTGCTTTAAAGGAGTCTAAGAATGGCAGTAGCCACCATCACGGGATTAAGTTACTGTAAAGATTCATAAATGAAATTGTTAACCTACTCCCACAAAATGAGACAGGATTTTTCAGGTTAAATAAGCACACTTCAGATTGTTAAGACAGTTGTGGCTCTTGGGGATTCCATTTCAGACACTGCAAAAGAATGAGTTAAGTGATATGTTATGTAAAGGGAAACACTTTCCAATTCCTCCTTAAAACAGAATGTCACGCCATCTGGGTTGCTTCTGGAGTAAGTTACAAGAATTCATACCATTTGCGAATACTCTGAAAGTCAATGGAAAAGTCTACAGTCTCTAAAAAATTATTTTATACTCTTACCTGATAAACATTTAGTTGCCTTTTCAGAAAGAAAAGGAAGGGAAAAATACCACAGAATTCCAAGTTGGACAGTGGTTTAAGTAACTTAGGCTGGTTACTGGTGATACAGAACTGGTCAAAGCAATTTTCTTCTACAGTCACCTCAAGCTCAGTTAAAGTTCCCCACACTTCAGTGACACACCAGCCACAGCTACCCAAAATGCAGCAGGCAAGCCACTGGCCAAACTGAAGATGATTTTAGATAGCACATAGCAAGCTTGAAAGAATACTTAAATATTGCAGTATGTTGGAAAAAACTATAGAATTAGCATCTCAAATACACAATTTCATAGATATTCTTGTGGAGAATGACTTGTTAAAATTGCTATCATTAAACACTAATAATACACTGATGTACAGATTTTGCAAAACTCACACTGTAACTGATTTAATTCCGAGAAGGCTGAATTAAAACAGAAATGATATCAAGGGCATCTTTTAAACACACATGAACAACTGCCTTTTACATGGGACATCCGCAATCAATGTCAGTCTTTTATTAAAGGAATGAGGAATGTGATCTTTAGTGAAAGATTATATTTTGCAGCATGCTGTTTTCATAAGTTATTTTGTTAGGTACAATTCCAGCAGGTCACATTGGTAAAATCATGTGACAGGTGAAACTCATTCTATAATCAGCTGGGCCTCCTCTTAGCCATGTGGACCTCAGAGAAGTTAATAAACCCCTTTGAGCCCCAGCTGTGTCCCTTGTGAAAGGAAATGATAATGCTCACCTAGTTTAATAGTTGTGTAAATAAGCAAACAACATTAAGTGCCTAGCAGAGGCCTTGACAGAAATGACTCTAAGAGGCTAGAGTTGTGGTGCAGCGGGTCAAGTGGTCGCCTGCAATACCAGCATGCAATATGAACACTGACTCAAATTCCAGCTGCTCCCCTTCTGATTGACACCCCTGCTGATGCACCTGGGAAAGAAGCAGAAAATGGCCATGTGCTTAGGCCCCTGCCACACACATAGAAGACTTGGATGGAGTTCCAGGCTTCTAGCAGCCATCTGGGGAGTGAACCAGTGGATTGAATAACTCTCTCTTTCTGTCTCTCCCTCTTATGTGGCTCTGCCTTTCAAATAAATAAATCTTAAAAAAATAAATAAATGACACCTAAAACAGACCTTTTCCTTTTTCAAAGTAGCCTGCTTCCTAAACCTTGGGGGGCTATGGGACTCACCAGTACTTAAAAAATATTAAATTATATCCAATTGTCATCCTCATTTATAATATATGAAAATATGGCTCCCTGTGTCCTTATTAATATCTCTGGAAGAGAATGTCCTGAGTAAACATGCAAAGAAAGAAAGCAATTCAAACAAGACAAGTCTCAACACATAAAAGCAGTATCACCTAGGGTGGTCAAGGCCATCATTGTACTTCTACATTTTAAAGGACCTACGTATGTCATGAATTTGATGGATACTGCCAACTATTAAAATAATAATTAACCAGGAGTGGGTTTTGCTGTCAAACTAACCTAGGCACACTTAATTATTTTTTTTATTTCAATTGCAATAGAGAAAATAATCTAAAACAATCACCAGGAGTAGAGTACACAGCACTAGCTATATCCCCTGGAGACCACCAGGAATTTTTCATTTCATGCACCATTTACAACTTCTTATAGTGAATTCCAGAGCATCAGTACATACACTTAACAGAAAATGGAAACACTCTTGTTTTGGTTATTTCCTTAAATTTTTGCCTCATGTCCATTATCTTGATTATATTTTCCCATCACATCATCTGTAGTCCCAGCAGCAAAATCTCAACCTCATTGATTTGAAATAGGGGGGAATATAAACGAGGAGTATGCCCACATCCTCTCTAGGAGCGGTTTTCTAGGAAAAACGCATTGATTTGATAATTGTACCACCAACAGCATTTAGTCCAACTGGCACAATATCCGAGATACAGTTCTGACTCCTTGGGCTTGCAGCTCAAGTGGTTTCCATTGTGTGTGTGTGTGTGTGTGTGTGTGTGTGTGTTTTGCATTTACTACTTTATTGCCCTGTGATGTTCTGGCTTACTGAGAATATTTAACACAAAGGAAAATCAACAGAAAGCACAATGTAGTGGTGGGAGGGGAGAGAAATCCTAAGTAGCTTCTACTATGCTCATAACCTGGTAACCTCACCTGAACATAGCTCCTGTAGATTAGAAAATGTAAAGTAGCCTGTCTTGCTTGGCAAACTCACGCATCTCCATCTGACTAATGAGTCATAGTCTTGTCTTAAAGAAATCCTAAATTCACTAAAGTGAATTTAGTAAAATTCACAGGCTGCACCTGACACCTGACACAGGTTTATTGAGGGGCAGTGTTTAGCCAAGCAGTTAAGATACTGGTTGAGAGCTGAGTATCCAAACCCTACTGGAGTACCCTACTGGTTTGCTACTCAGCTCTGACACCTGATGCCAGCTTCCTGCTGATGCAAACGCTGCAGGCAGCAATGATGACCCAAGTAATTTGGTTCCTCCTTCCCATGTGGGGGACCTGGATTGAATTCCTGGCCCCTAGATTTGGCCTCAGCCAGTGGCTGTTCTGGGCATTTGGAGAGTGAGCCAGTGACAAATTCATACTTAAGAAGTTTGTTGATCTATTAAATCTCTCAAAATTATTAAGATACTGCTTGTGAAAGCTCTGTCTTCACTAATACCTACTAAGCTCCCTGTTGGAGTTTTTTTTTTTTTTTTAAGATGGCATATGGCCAGTTTTTCCTTTTACACTACAGAATCCAGGTCAGCATTATCCAAACACAGTCACTGAGGTGCCATTTGTTTAACTTAAGGATCACCTGTATTTCCTTCTTTGAATGACCTGGAAATTAACTCATCTGTATTTCTCAGCATAGTCTCTTGCAAAGACATGAGCTAAATGGGGTTACTCTTCTGATTTACTTTAAACCATGATCATGTTAAAGTAAAAGAACTTTTCTACATGCACTGTCTTTGTGCATCTTGTATGTACACGGCCACACGTAAGCTGGGGAAAACTGTTCTATGGCCCACAGAGCTCAAGCAATTGGGCTGCCACACAGTGGGAGCAATTAATTGAAGAGTCCACACACAGCCTTCCAAAACCTACCCATTACTAGGAAATCACAAAGACCTAGGAAACTTGAGCAACGGACTGCAGCCAGCAGTCAGTCACTCAGGCCTAACAAGAACATATGTTTTCACATTCATGGAACTGACAACTTTCCCTTCTCTCTTTGCCCACACGCTCTCTGGATGTAGTTTGTCCCCCAAAATTCCCACGTCATACTCAGTGTGCCAATGTTGAGAAGTGGGGACCTTTAACGGGTGAGGCCTGATGGGAGGTCCCTCAGTCATTATGAGCATCACCCTCAGAAGGAATTAATGCAGACCTCCTGTGACTCCCTGGTAGCTCTCACAAGTGGGCTGTGACAAAAGCTTGAGTTTGGTTCACCTGGTCTCTCTGGGGCTTTCTGTGTTGAGACGTGACCACTGCCTCCCACATACGCTATCACCATCGCCATTCCCATGATATGACTCGGTCCAGAGGGCTTGCATCACAACCAAGCCCGTGCCGGCATGATGCCCTTGAAAACTCCAAAACTGTGAGTTAAAGACACCTCTCATTTCTCCTAAGTAGCCTGCCTCAGGTATTTTGTTACTGCGAAGAAAAGCTGACCAAGTACACTGGGATTTTCTTGTGGGAGTGTCTGTGTGTCCTCCCCTCTGAGTGGTGTCTAGTATGGGGCCTAGGACACAGGAGAGGGCTCCTATTATAGTAATATCAGGGTTTCCTCTTTTTCTAAATAAGCTGCATCTCTCTCAGCATTTTACTTAGTTGATAAGTGAGCAAAATAAAGGCAAGAAACCAATAACTAGCCTTCCAGGAAATGCATTAGAATTCTTTCAAATTAAAATTATATTTTGTGGACATAAAGTAATATTAGGCAATACAAGTCATTATTTATGAACTTAACAATAATGTGGATGCATAAATTCTGCTGAGAATTCCTGGGAAGGAAACATTTTTTAGATATTTATAGAACAGTTTTAAGTACCAGATGATGATTTCATTATAATTATGCAAAGAGAGCTTATTTAAAACATACTTTATGCAGTTTAATAACGGTGGCAGAGGTGAAATTATGTGGACAGTAGGAAAGAAATTGTTTGGACAATGTGCTTAAATACATGGTCAACTCACTCAAACAATAAAACATCTCATGCATTTTGTACATTTCCCTTGCCAATGATGACTCTTTCCCCTGTTTTGCCTAGAGATATATGGAGCTGTAATAGAGTTCAGAAAGCCCCTGACAGCTGTGTGCTGCCATTCAGACCTGAAAGATTCCATGTTATGATAAAAATTAATGTACTCTGACATCCTCTGGGACTCCCTGGGCCCTGGGAATAGCTAATGAAGAAATACAACCTTGCCAGAGAACAGCACATGGCTCTGGAGTTGAGAATTAATTCACATGTGGTAGTGGTGCGCCCCCCACCCCCACCCCGTCACTAGCTGTAAAGCAATAGGATCCCAGTGCGAAAGGGAGCCAGGGCCAATTGGTTAGAATTATTTCTTGGGACACAAAAGGTCAAATAAACAAAATGCTTTACAAAGTAATTGAGCTCAAGTTGCATTCAGCAACTTCTTAAACCAAAAAAGGATGAGTTAAGTTTAAGTTTTTCATATGAGATGTGCTCCATCGTTGAATGGATGATCCTTCAAGAGGGGATCAAAGGGTTTTGGTGTTGAACTTGTTTCAATGTACCTAGTACCCTACCTTCCAACACCTTTAGCCTCCATGTATGATGATGTCTTCCCACAAACCAGAACAGTGAGAATGATGTTCATAGCAACACTCTTTACAGTAGCTAAGAAGTGCAAAGAACACAAATGTCTATCAGTGAACAAATGGATAAACAAAAGGTAGTCTATCCATATAGTATGTTTCAGCTATAAGAAAAAGAATGAAGTAATAATGCTTGCTAGAACACGATGGACCTGGAAAATATTATGCAAACTGAAAAAAGCTAGATAAAAAGACCACATATTATAGAATTCTACTCATATGAAATGTCTAGAATAAGCAAATAGGGAGAGACAGGAAGTAGGTGAGTGGTGCCTAGGGCTGGAGAAAGAGGAGATAGGTAATGACTGCCAGTCTCTACGGGATTTCTTTTTGGGGTGATGAAAATGTTCTGGAATTCAAGTGTGGTGATGGTTGTTACACATGTGTGAACGTAGTAAAAAAAAATCACTGAATAGTACTTTAAAATGGTGACTTTTACACTATATCTCAATTTTGTTAAAAAAAAAAAAAAAAAAAAAAAAAAAACTGGGCTCCGAGACATCTTGCTAAGCTGGCTCCCCTTTCACGGGGGCAGCCTGGGCTGAATGCTCAGTTCTCTAGGTCCAATCCTTATACAAAGACTCAAGCAAGACACACTGAGTTCAACGAAAACAAGGTTGCATTTTTTTTGGGACAACTGATGGGCCACACTAAGCTACATGGTTTTAGTTTATGACATTACTTCAGTCTATTATTAGAATTTTACAATGTCAAGTTAAATTTATTTCTCAACATCTGAAATGGAATCATTTTTAAAAATACTAGGTTAAAAATATAAAAACTTTTTTCTGTAACATATTATTCACAGTATTTTCCATACCTTTATAGTATTATTTTGCCAGTTTATTATCTTGACTAAACGATTCCAGAAAACTTGGGAAAATAGTGCTATTATAAAAGAATACATTTTTAAAATAGTTGAAATATATATTTATACACATAAATATTTAATGTCTTCCTATAGAATGCCTGTCATTTTATTGAAGGGAAAAAACAGGATAATACTCTGAATAGGAACTGTGGTATTAATTGAGCAGTATTAATGTCTTCATGAGTGAAAAATATATGATGCCTTGTTTTTACTTTAAAATAATATACCAAGAGAGGGACTACAGATTCAAGAAAATTGACAATATGTTGAAAACTATAAAAGCTGAGTAACAGCTATGGGAAGTTACAGTATATATTTTTTTCTCTGTTATATGTGTTTTAAATTCTCTGTAGAAAAAAACTTTCAAAAAATAAAAACAAATAGAAAGGCAAAAAAATGGGCATTTTTTATTTTTGTATTTATGCATTTCCATGATTTTTCAGTGTTCTATGATCATCTATTATTTTTGTTATCCTAAACCTAATGTAAAATAGAATCATTTATACATAATACCAAAATAAACTTACTTGAAGTTTGCCTGAAACATTACAAAGACAGATCAGCCTTTTAGAACCAAGTGAAATCAGGTCAATATAACTGTAGCCAACACCACAATATAGCACACACGACGCGGAAGGCAGGACGGGTGCTACGCTGACTCCTGCCTCTGCAGGCACTGGGCAGCTTATCTACCTTCCAGTGGTGCACTGAGGAACATGACTCCTGCCTCTGCAGGCACTGGGCAGCTTATCTACCTTCCAGTGGTGTGCTGAGGAACATGACTCCTGCCTCTGCAGGCACTGGGCAGCTTATCTACCTTCCAGTGGTATGCTGAGGACATGACTCCTGCCCATGCAGGCACTGGGCAGCTTATCTACCTTCCAGTGGTGCGCTGAGGAACATGACTCCTGCCTCTGCAGGCACTGGGCAGCTTATCTACCTTCCAGTGGTGCGGCTGAGGAAAAGCAGCAAATAAAACAGAAACAAATGTGATCAAAAGCTCTGCTGAGCTCAGAAAACCTGCCTATAATATGGCAAAGAAAAAAGAAATATTTGTTTGATCCAGGGCACATCTGAGTCAAATGGGGCTTCACAGCCTGGGACTGAAGTCTATTTTAGAATCAGGGTTCTCCAAGGCCCTATCTAGTAGCAAGATCAATTGGAAGCTTTCCCTCTAATCATGTGGCGATCTATTAAGGCTGGGCCAGACATGAAGGGGCATCCTGTGTCATGTGGCAGAGCAGAGCTGAGTCAAAGGGAAGGTCATGAAAAATTAGCAGAGTCACACGTGGGAGCTGTGCTTCCACTACTGCGAAGACCAAAGGAGACTAGAGCACCACTATCTCGGGTAAAGAACAACCTGGGGGCAACGCCAATGAAGCCAGACTCTCATTCCAGGGCTCTCTCCACTCACGCCCCACTCTGCCCACTTCATCTCCTCAGATCTTTATTTAAGGACTAAGTCAGGCTGGTGCCACGGCTCAATAGGCTAATCCTCCACCTGCGGCGCTGGCACCCCGGGTTCTAGTCCCAGTCGGGGCGCCGGATTCTGTCCTGGTTGCCCCTCTTCCAGGCCAGCTCCCTGCTGTGGCCAGGGAAGGCAGTGGAGGATGGCCCAAGTGCTTGGGCCCTGCACCCACATGGGAGACCAGGAGAATCACCTGGCTCCTGGCTTCGGACCAGCGTGGTGTGCCGGCTGCAGCGGCCATTGGGGGGTGAACCAACAGTAAAGGAAGACCTTTCTCTCTGTCTCTCTCACTGTCCACTCTGCCTGTCAAAAAAAAAAAAAAAAAAAAGGAAAAGTCCTAAATTCCACTCTGTTTTCTGTCTCTGCTCTTTTCCTGCCCCATCAGCCTGTCATTTCTCCTCCCTGTGGCTCCGATGGGCTCCGATGGCATTTACAAATAGTGGAAGACCAACATTCAGTGACTCGTGACCAAAAGCCCTGCATTTTCTAACAACCACTAGACTATAATGAAATAAATTAGAATTTAAAAATTATATTTCAGATCTCGGTAGCAAAGACATAAATACATAATAGCATTTCCTAGTGTCTGATGAAGAAATGACAAGTACTTACATCATAGGGCATCAGTATTAGAAGATATTCATATGTTTTAACACAAACTCTATACCAAGACAACAAGAGATCCAAGAAGATATATATGGAGGACATCATCACAGTGTACGTGCACGCACGCACACACACACACACACAAAGCAAAAAAGCAACGTAGCATCTAACAATTCAAGATAGGTTAAACAACTATCTACGTGGCATAGATAGCTGTAAAGTTCTTAAAATTCCAATTTAAGAAACATTTAATAGCATGGAAAATTGTCCATGACATATTAAGTATGGAGAAAAGATTGCAAAAGAACATCTGTCACATAACCATTTCATACTCACTAGGACAACTGTTAACAAAAAAGCAAGGCTTATAATTGCAAAAACAAACAAAAAACAACAAACACTGATGAGGTGAGGGTATGGATATGGAGAAACCGGAACCATCAAACACTGATGGCAAGACTATTAAGTGGTGCAGCTGCCATGCAAGTTCAAAGTTAATATCAAGTTGCCCTATGATCCAGCAATTCCACTCTTTGGTATATACCCAAGAGAAACAAAACACATCCTCACATAAGCGTGGACATGAATGTCCACGGCCACATTATTCATAAAAGACATATTGTGGAAACTGCACATATCCAAAGTGTGGACTGAAATGCTGATACATGTCAAACACGGATGAATCTGGAAAACATTCTGCTAAGTCAAAGAAGGTAGACAAAATAGGATACAAATGCACAGAGTAAAGTAATGGAATTTGACAGTGGGAATGACTGTGCAACCTTGCGAGTGTACCAAATACCACTGAACTGCACATTTTGAAATGGTGAATATTTCATGGCATGTCAATGGAATACAGACAACATGTCCCCCCACTTTTTCGGGGGGCACACAGAAAATACAGCCAGCAAAGTGTAAATGTGGATTGTCTAGGATGGTAGAATGAGCTTTAATCTGTGCTTGAATCTACATGCTTGTCCACAATCTCACATTTTTCCCTTGAGTTATATACAGGTTTTATTATATGAAGAAAAAAAACAGTTATCAGTTTAAAATAAAAGTTCTTACCAAGGGCAAACATTTGGCACCATGTTTAAGACACAGCTTGGGATGCCCCATATTAGAGTGCATGATTGAAGTCTCAGCTCCTCTGCTTCTGATCCATTTTCCTGCTAATGCACACTCTGGGAGGCAGCAGATGACAGTTCAAGTACTTGTGTCTGTGCCACCCATGTGGGAGACTCAGACTGAGCTCACAGCCTGCAGCCCAGGCTGGTGGAGGGATTTGTGGGAGTAACCAATGAATCGAAGATCTCCCTCTCTGTCTCTCCTTGTTTCCCTTTGAAATAAATTTTAAAAAATTTAAAAACTTACTACCATACACTCTGTGTTGAACAGTTCTCCCAGGGAAGGCTATGTGGCTTTAGTCAGGAAATCCAAAGTTGGTCATCCAGGGGTCTGGTCTCAGGACCACATTTTCTAAGCAGTTACACAAGACATGGGAGCATAATGCAGGATCTCACAGGACCAAATGTGTTCACCAATTTGTAACTGCAAATTGGTAATACAGCTATATCATGCAATGGCCACTCTTGGCAGGCCTTGACTCTGCCCTTTCTTCCGCGAGCTCCCATGGCCTCTCTCTGCAGGTGTCAGGGGCTTTAGAGTGGGCAGCTGCCCACCTCCATCTGAATTTAATTCATTTACTGTAAGCAAAGTTTGAGTGCAGAGACAGCTGCCAGTACCCCGGACTCCTGTATGCACTGTTACACCCTTGCAAGATAAATGCTGTCTCTTAATCCTTAAAATGCAATTCTGTTCACCATTACCCAGCCTTGCACAGACAAGTAAACAGGCTCAGAGAAGTGGAGAAATTGGCCCAGTGGGTTGGTGGACCAGCAGGATTTGAGGCCATAGCTAATGGTTCTCCCAGCTCACCATAAACATGATGGGCTTTTAGGGAACTTTGTCTATGCACGGAGCTCTGCTGAAGTGGGCGTAGACCAACCAGGGCATAGCTGTTAGCTGGCTGCTGATCTGCCCTCAGTTCTGCCAACTCCGCTGCACACGAGCAGGGCAGCGCACAGGAAGATGTTAACAGCCCAAGTGCCCAGTGCACATACCTGACCAACCTTCTCCTTCCTTCATTTCTTCCTTTCATTTACCTAGCCATCCAGTGCATCCATCCATCACTCTATCCATCCTTCTGCCTGGACAATTAAATCAGAATTTGAGGGTAGCAGCCAGGCATTGGTGTTTTTTATGACTCCCATCTGACTCCATGTACAGCCAGGTTGAGGAACCACCATGATGATCTCATGGAAGTTTATGATATGGCAAAAATGAGGCACTGGTGTCCTTTTGGGCTAAAGACATTCCATTAAGATGCATCTGCCAAAGCTTTATCATTCAGCAACTTAACCGTTACTTGCACTTCTGAGACAGAGATCTCTCCACTCTTTCTGTTCCTGCTATAAATTATTTTATCATGTCAATTCAAACATCTTTTCAAATTATTTATTTATTCATTCAATCATTTATCTTAAAGGCAGAGCATCAGCGAAAGTGGGAGAGACAGAGCTAGAGAGATCTTTTATCCATTGGTGCAATCCCCAAATGGCCGCAACAGTAAGGTCAGGACCAGGTTAAAGTCGGAAACCAGGAATTCCATCTGGGTCTCCCACGTGGGTGGAAGGGGACCAAACATTTGGGCCATCATCTGCTTCCTTCCCAGGTGCATTAGAGAAAGATGGACTGGAAGCAGAGCAGCTGTGACTCAACCTGGCACTCTGATACGCAATGCTGGCATCACAGTGGCTGCTCAACCTGCTGTACCACAACAGCCTAAATGCTCAAGTATATTTTAAATTGTGATTCAGTGAGTCAATTTTAACAGCAGAATAATCTTACAAGGCAATGGAATAATTTTCCCATTAACTGGGATGATCCATTTATATATTTTTGAATGACAAGGTACCAAACAGATCCTTTCAACAAGAGAAGAAAACACTTACAATATTGAAAACGGTGCAGTGACAAGCAGTTTAACTAAAAATATAATTTTCCTTGGGGGTTTTCAGGAGGCTGCACTATGGAGTGCCACTGATTTATTTCACATGTATATTCAAGTTTTTAGCCTGACAAGAATTAGCGTTTCAACAATTTACTGAGAAAAAAGATGGTCCCATGTTATTAAAATGTGATTTCAGTGTGGTTTAAGCACAACTTCTCAACATGTCAATTATGTCAATGTAGAATCCCAACGTTACAATGGGGGTGGTTTGGATGATACAAGGAGAAAAGCCAAGTTCAATTCATGGCCCAAGTTGGGAAATATAATTCTAAACCACAGAACTGAAATGCTCTTTCCAAGTCTTAAATGAACCAAGAGTTTTCTGAGATTAACTAAATGTTAACCCTAACACCACGGATCTGCTGCATGGAAGGCTGTGTGGGTGGTCTCAGTGTGGGCCAAAGAACAGATTTGGTATACCGGGCTCAGAGGAGTCATCCCTGGCCAGCCTGGTTTGGTCACATGGTCTCTGTCTACACTATTAATAGAAAATGTTTTAAATTCCTAGAAGAGAACCTTCAAGTTATTGGTGGATAGTAACTACTGTATCAGTGATTATTTTAAACTATGTTTCCTCAGATCTTTGAACATATAACCTCTATGTCACCCAATGAAGGATCAATTCAAGAACTGTAAAAGGCTGAGAATTGGCAACTTAAAAGTGCAGTTCAGCAAATCTAAGTCCATGGTTCCATTTTTTCCTTCCCTCATTGCTTCTTTCCCTCCTTCTATCCAACTACCCAACTGTCCATGCACCCTTCCCCTTCCTTGAACTCACTATAAGATAGCAAATGTAGGCCAGCGCCGCAGCTCAACAGACTAATCCTCTGCCTGCAGCGCCGGCACACCGGGTTCTAGTCCCGGTCGGGGCACCAGATTCTGTCCCGGTCGCTCCTCTTCCTGTCCAGCTCTCTGCTATGGCCCGGGAGTGCAGGGGAGGATGGCCCAGGTCCTTGGGCCCTGCACCCACTTGGGAGACCAGGAGAATCACCTGGCTCCTGGCTTCGGATCAACGCAGTGCGCCAGCCGCGACATGCCAGCTGCAGTGGCCACTGGAGGGTGAACCAATGGAAAAAGAAGACCTTTCTCTCTGTCTCTCTCTCTCACTGTCCACTCTGCCTGTCAAAAAAAAAAAAAAAGCAAATGTAAAATCTGCAAGGGATTATGATGATGACAATAACACAAGCTAAGATGTATTAAGTGCTCATTAGGCATCAGATAATGTATTTTATAAGAATAGTGTTATTTAATCCTCTCAACAATCACAGAGTGGTGTTACCCCCATCTCCCATTTTTACTGATGAAGAAACCAAGGAATAGAAAGAGTGAAGCATTTTTCCAAGGTCACCATCCTATGTAAATGTAGAAGACACATTCAGAGCTAAGTCAAGAATAGGAAAGGTTTCTGCTCTTTTAGGGCACAGTACAACAATAACAACAAAAACTCAACGTGGTTCCCCCATCCGTGCCAGATTGGGTGCTGGCATCACGCTCCAAGAAGAGACTCACCTCTCAATTCTGGTGCCCAGGTAAGGAGGAGGAATGAAGGGTGTTCTATAGAGGATGTGACACAAAGACATTCACTGAACAGGTGATGGACAGGTAGGAGGGTAACAGCAAAGGTCCAGAGGCAGGGTTTAGAACCTGTAAGTACCTCCATAGGAGCAAAGTTGGGAGGACACAGCCAGAAGACACAGGGGAGGAAACCAGACTTCACAGGCCCAAGTAGGCCACACTAATAAATGTAGCTACTGCAGCTCAGGCAGAACATTGCCAATCAGAACAGTGTCAGGAGTGGGTTTGCATTTGAGAGCAATTGCTTTGGCAGTTCATAGGTATAAAAAGCAAAATGACCTTTTGGTCTTCTTGTGTCTACCTGATAAGTATCATTTTAAAGACAAGTAGGAACTAAGGGGGAAATGAATACTGACATTTGGAAGAAATGTATAAAGACAACTACAAATGAGAGTAAATAGCAGTCATTTCCTCTTAAATAGACTCTGTGGAGAGACACCTTCTAGATATTCGGTAGAAAACAGTCAGAGTACCTTAATTGAAGGGATGAGCCTATCGTCTATTGGGTTTGTTTAACCTCCTTTACACATATTTCAGCAAAACAATTTCCAGTTGGTGATAGAAAATTGGCTGCAAGAAGCATCTCCTCCAACCTTGAAGTGACCTTAATAATTGTCCCAGTAGGCAGTGGTTGTCATCCATCCTATTAATGGGACAAATATCCTTCAGAGGCAATGTGTTCTACATGATACATTTCCCAAATGAGACAGATCTTTCCAATTCTCCCAAATACTCTCTAAGCTAAGTTCAGAGACAGAGCAGATTTTGGGCCACCTTCCAGCAGAACATACTAACTAGTATGACCTTCATCAAGGTCCTTAATATTTTTAATAAGTGTCCATTTATTGATCTGTAAAATGTAGCTCATCATGGTATGATGCTGAAACATAATATATTGACCTTCTTCTACCATTTTTGTCCTCACCTCTGAGTCCTTGTAAGGTTTAAATGGAATGGTACGTGAGTGTTTATCTATGCATGACATATAATAAGTAGACAATATCAGCAATTATTATGGTTTCCAGCTCCAGATACAACTCAGTGTGTTCATACATTAAGCAGCATTTAGTTGTCTTAGTTGTCCTGCTTTCCTATGTGGTGTTATTTCTAAAACTTAGCACAGCAAACTATTCTACTACTCAGACTTCTGTCTCTTCTATAGCTATTAAGTATTCCAGTATACTTCCGCAGAAATTTCAAAGTAACCATGAACTCAGTTTTATATATGCATATATACATAATTGTTCTATGTAAATATACATACACCTATATGTAATATAAAATATTGACTAGACCTAACAGTCCATTTTCCTTGAAAAACAGTATGTGTTTCTCATGATGCGGTAGGATGCTATTACAATGAGTTATATTTCAAGGCCCTGTGGACTACAGCTCAGATGGTAGTAAACCACACAGCTGCCCAGCCAGATCCCAAATCCCACACTCTTTTTGTATTTGTAAATAAAGTTTTATTTGAACACAACCACACCCGTCTTCTAAGATCTTAACTCAATACTCAACAGTACACTCAACAATGGTTGAGTAGTTGCCAGAGAGACCATCTGGCTCATAAAAACCAAAGATATTTATGGTCTAATTCTTCACAGAAAAACTTTGCTGACCCATGTCCAGTCCAGTGCTTTAACTGATCAATGTTTGTAACACCAGCACAAAATTAACATTTGCTAGAGGTAAAAGCCTAACATTTTTTTTTATATGACTGGTGGGATGAAGAGGAGTGGAAAAAGGCAATCACAGAAAAAAAAAAAAAATCTACTTCCAAAGCCTGGTTTTGGCTCTTGCTGGAAAATTTTTTTGTGTCTTTAATTAACATACATCACTTCGATTTCATGAAACTCAAGTGATGGCTGAACCTAGAATTCTGTTGGGAAATTAAAAATTTTATTTCACAAACATGTTGATGCAAACATATTCCTTTACACTAATGATGGCAAAAGGGTGCCATGAAATTTCCCTAACCAATTTCACTGCCAGGTGACCTTTAATTAATTTATTAATTACTCTTTTCCACCAAAGGTTATGCTTTTCAAAATATGAAGCTATCCAAACATTCCTAAGCAGCATGACTACTGAAAGAAAGAGATGAGGCACAGAAGCAGCAGATGGCAATGATTTCATTCCAATGCTGAGCCAGTTCCTAGCACTAGGTTGAATACGTGATGAAGTGAAATGAAAATACTTGTTTTACAGTAGAGGAGAAAGCCTGTAGTATCTGTCTATTCCATTACACACAGGCATACGTAGTACTTGCAGTATGTACACTCTCCCCACTTATCGAAAGCAGGTTGCTCTAGAGGCGACTCTGATCCAACAAAGACGCCTGATGCTCAGGGAAACGGACACAGCAATGAGAGAGGAAGCAGAATCTGGGGTACTTACTCTGAAGGAGAACTGTGAAGCATCCCTCAGGTCCATGGAGTTACATGAAGGGGAAGAATGAGAACAAAGAGTGGAGGGGGATGGGGCCGGAGCTGTGGCATAATGTGTAAAGCCGCTGCTTGCAGTGCCAGCATCCCAAATGGGCGCCATTTCAGGTCCTAACTGCTCCACTTTCTGCTATGGCCTGGGAAAGCAGCTGAAGACGGCCCAAGAGCTTGAACCCCTGCATTCATGTGGAAGACCGGAAAGACACTCCTGGCTCCTGGCTTCAGATCAGCTCAGCTCTGGCCATTGTGGTCATTTGGGGAGTGAAGCAGTGGAACTGAAGACCTCTCTGCCTCTCCTTCTCTCTGTTTAACTCTGGCTTTCAAATAAATAAATAAATCTTTAAAAAAAAAAAAAAAACAGTGGAGGAAGAAGGCAGTGGGGGCAGAATACGCCGTAAAGCATTAAGTATTCTGTGACCTCATTGGAGCACCACTGTGGTGATAACCAGTTGTGCTCATTTCTCATGGGGCTTACAGCTGTGGACCACATGAAGTCCATTTCCCCTCTTCTTTTGTTTGCCAGGAATCTCAAAGTGCATTCTTATACCCAGTTTTTACTAACCACGAAAGGCCTTAGGAAATACATACCTCCTCTAAGATCCTGTATTACCACTGTGCACTTATTCCTTTCCCTGAAGTTTTCTTATGTCTATCTTCCCATATTTTATGTACTCTTAAAAACCCCTCTGATCACTTTAGGATCAAGGTAACAAACAGATGCATGTTAAGAAGTCAAAGGCAAGATACACAGAGATGTGCCTTGTCATTCCATGCATTTCACCTATTCAAGCAATCTGCAAATCAGAGGTGACAATCCACTTTACAGATTGGGAAAGTGGGACCCAGAGATACTAAGAAGCTTGCCCAAGGCCACACAGCTAGTAAGCAGCAAAGCTAAACTTTGAGCCAAAACTCAGCTGGCCTCCACATCCTGGAACACAGCCACCAATCTCCCTGCACGCAGAGCCTGTGGCCAGTCCCGTGATGCAGCAGCGGAGTCGAACAGTTAGCTGGAACAGAGACCTTATGGCCTGAAAAGTCTGAAATATTCACTCTCTGGTCCTTTAAGGAAATGTTTACCAACCAAACCCTGCACGACATTTTATTGTTTCCAGGTATTTTTTAAGTAAGTATATAATCTATTTCAGAAACATGCTTTTTGAAAATGACATAAGATTTGGCATCTAATGAGTTATGTTTTGGGAAGCAAAACATGAACTTATGAGGGCAGCATTCTTCCCTGATGTTTCTGGGTTCTATACTAAATGATTCACAATATGGTTTTTCAATGTTTTAGTGTGGAAAATGTGTTGGATGGGTGAAAAATCAACTTAGTCATCTTAATAATTTCCTAAAAAAATCCTAATGAAGACCTAGATTTAGAATATTTTTTACAGTTAAAATCTTTTTTTCTTTTCTTTTAGTTTTCATACTGTGTAGAAAAACAAAGCAACATGATCCTTCTGTTAGGCAAAACGAAAATGGCTTTCTCAAGTTAAGCAAAGAGAAATGCAGATAAGCTGGCTAAAACATTATTCTTAAAACTGAGCTGGGGAGAAAAAGAAAGATTACTCTGTAATTTACACATTGGTCTTCAGGGTAATTTATCCCTCAAAATTTGGAATTTATTTATAACTTTTAGCCCACCCACTTCCATAAGAATGATCTGAGACAGCAAAGTGTGTAATATGAATCCAAAAATATTATATCTGGGAATAGTAGATTCAAGCTCTGAAAGTAATTTAGTAGAAAATGAAAATACATAACTTTGTTAAAAATTTTTTCCCTTCAAATGCCTGAGAAGAAAGGACAGAAAATAGCTATTCTAACCATTTAAAAAAAAACACCACTTTTAAAATTATCTTCTAAGTGAAACAAATCCAAATTCCTTTGAAAAATTCTGTGGGCAGAACATTAAGCAAAGAAATGGAAATCCATGATCAAAAATCAAGTTCTAGAAACCTTTGGAATTGCATTATTATTCATATTTTAATATGAAGTTCTTGGCAATTTAAATTAATTTCCAGGATGAATCAAAAGCCTCAATCAAGATTCTAAGAGCAGAAGAACAAGTAGAGTCCAAGTTATGAATGCCCTGTGTTATGTGTCATCACCAAGTTTTAAAATTCCAGATTTAGAATGCAGTGTCCATTTTGTTGGGGATCTGTAGATTCCAAACTATTAGCCATTTTCTAAAGAAAAAAATATTTAAGGAGCACATTGTTCTAAGAGGTCTTGAACTGTTCTGGGTCTTGTTCAAACTGTGCTCTTCTCAGTAATCTGGCAGCTGCAACTAGGATGAAAATGTGCAAAAGCACTGCAAACAGCATTCTGCTGTTTGTGAATCTGCTGCAGAAAGAAAATCCCAATCACTGGTTGGGAGGATTAGAAAAGGTCTTAGCTCTTCCTGCTCATGGACGCCTCTATCCACCAGGCAGTATGCAGTCTGGCTGCCTTCCAGAATCACTGTTCAAACACAAATATCCTTCACAACTCAGTTTGGTTGGGACTTACCGCAGCTTTGCTTTGGAACTTTCCAGTAATGCCCAAAATAATTCAACGTGAGACACACTGGCCGACCACCACCACCACTAACTCTGGGGAGCAGTGTGGAGAAGCAGATGGAGGCTTCCTGGACTGGCCACCCAGAAGAGCGAGCATGGAATAATAGGACAAATGAATGAAAGAGGGAGTGTGCAAATCGAGAGAGGGGTCAGAGGGGTGAGCAGGTCAAGAAATGCTGAACCTTAGGGAAACTGGCTCTGGCAACAAGGCATGGCATCCTCTCGATAGGCGGCCAGACCACAGCTTATGAAGTACTCCTGCCAAAAAATTCAACAGGAAGTAGCTGAGTCTCCAGAGTTAGCTACTTTTTCACAAGAAACAAAGGGATATGTTAAATGACACTACAGAATGAAATCATCCAAGCAGAAACCACAGAAATCTCTAGGGGACATCCTGGTCCCTTAAATATGTAGCATTTGAAAATTTTTTAAGGGAAAAAAATAAAAATCTTACAGATTAAAATGCATGGACCTCATCTGAATCCTGATGTAAACATGTTGTAAGAGAAAGAGGTAGGAAGAAGGGATAGAACAATGAAAGGAGAGAAGGAATCAGAGAGATAGAGAGAAAATAAATAAATTTTTATTGTTTTAAATTGTCTTAAGCCCATCAGATTCTGAGGTAACCTGTCAGCCAGCAGAATAACCCATAGAGAAACCTCCAAAGGGAAATGTCTGATTGAAGATGAGAACTAACAGAAAGGGTGGTCCCTGGGATTAAAACAGAGCTGGGGTCAAAGTCTAGACCTGCCACTTGCTGCATCTAGGAACTCGACTTAGCCTCTGTGGGCTTAAACCTTTTAATTGGTAAAAAGGGGAGAAGAGTGGCTAGTGCATAGGGCTGTTGTAAGAAATTAATGAGATGATCGGTGTGTGAGTGCTTAGCATACTGCCTTGCACAGAATAAACAGAAAGCTGGCTAGCAGCTAGTGTTTATACAATCATTATTAGCAGCACTCGTGCTAAAACATCCTCCTCCTCCACACAGAGTCTCCTGAAAAAGGAAGAAGATATCCCCAAAGAGGCTGACTCCACAACTCGTGCTGGAAGGCAGATGGAGGGCTGTGCCATGGTACAGTGAGGTATGCTTTCCACCAGTGTTTGCATTTAGCATCTGTTTCTATTTTGGGGCAGCCTCTGACTACAAAATCCGTTGCCTCTCCCAGCGTGGGCAAAAACACTTGGGCTGGAGCCTGCGTGGGGAATGTGCACAGGAAAGAGGTGCCTGACACAGGTCTGGCCTGTTCGCACGCAGGCTCTGCAACGTTTTATTAAATGGGGCATCCACATGGAGTTCAAATTTAAGGGTTTTTCCTCTGCACAGTCCAACAGCACAAAAAGAAATAGGTTCTGAACTGGCAGCCTTTCTTTCATTTGTCATTATGTTTTACACACAAGGAAATTTTAATGTCTAAAGATGGGAGGTGATGATAAGAATAGAGTTACATGTGTTTTTTTGGCAGCCTAGTCACCAGCACTTAAATTCACTTCTGACAGTTCTCAGAATCTAAAGACCTGTAAGTACTAAACTGTCATCTGCCTATCCATGAGAGATTTCACTTTGGCAGTATTTCAAAAGTAAAATCACTCGCTTTTTTATGCATATTTTCACCACCACAATATTTCTGTAAGCCGTGTAAAATCCTGTATTCTCCAGAGACAGCTACAAAGAGGTCTGTGCTCAAGAATGTTCTAACAGGAAAATCCGCCTTGTTTCTGAATCTGGAAGTCTAAAAATTCAAAGTCATTTGCTAAAATCTAGGATTAGGACAAAATGGGTGATAGCTTCCTCCAGGAGTTTAAGCTTGGTGATTATTTTCAAAAAGCACTTGAATTTGATGATCTCCCAACTACTTAATGGTTAAAAACTAGTGGTCATGGAAAGACGTGGAAGATGATCCTATTATGTAACACTTGGCTCTCCTCTGCAAAGCTGCTCACTTCCAGCACGGTCTGACATGGGAATCGGAGGAGGCTGCTCAAAGGCAGGGAACGTGAGATCTCAGTGGAGCAGTATGGCATCGGGAGAGCAAGAGTCAGACTGCAATGAAACCCTCCATCTGGCACCACTACCAAGTGATCCTATGCAAGTCGCTCCCTTTCTCTGAGTCTCAGCCTCCACCACACTGAAATCCAAGATTACACAGCACAGTGGTTACGCAGGAGCTCTGCAGTGACAACCGATGGGCTGCCCGAGCTAATAAGCACATGGTGCTCCAGCCCATCTACTTACCATGTGCCTTTGGGTAAATGATTTAGCCCACCAGCCTCTCTTTCCTCATTTCTACATTGGAGAAAATAACAGCATTTACTCAAAGCATGGCATTGAGAATTAAATCCTAAAATGCATCCAAAATACTTGTATTCTATGGCCTGTCATAAGCCCTCAGTCCATGAGCTGCTATGTGTGATTGTTGTTCACAATCCCTCCAAACATGTCCTGATGAGCAGTCAGCCCTCAGGAATAAAATTCTGCTTGCTGACAACTCAGAGTATGGCTTCTCTGAGGTGAACTTGGCTTCCAACAGCCACCACTCTCTTCTCACAGCCTAGAAGACTGCTGAGGTCTTGAGGGACTCAGTGAACGTGTGTTAAGCCAGTGACCAACTGGGTGAATCAATGACGAGGCACTGAATGCGCTGATGTCTTGAGAGCTCCCAGCGTGCCCTGCTTGCGGTTCCCTGAGAGCTTGGGCAAGCCACCTGCTGTCAAGCACCACAAAGCACACAGCAGGGCTCCTCCACATCCTCTCGCTGGCTCGGTGATGCTTCCCGCTCCTCCTCTGACAGAGCACAGGACTCTCACTAAAGACTCAGGCTCCATACACATTGAAGGACGCAGGCCACTTGCTGGTTCCAGAAACAGCCTTAGGGAGCCACCCATTAAACAGAAAGAGCATAGTAAGAAACTCCAAGTGGCACAAGAACTGGACACTGGGGGCAGCTCTAGACAGCACATTGGAACACCTGATTTGGGATTCCTGCCCTCCTATGCTTCAGCGGCTTGGACAACTGCAGTACAGCCTGACCAAGAGGCTGCCTGTCATTAATCAGAGTTCTCTAGATGCTGTCGTGCTGCTGCCATTGGCCTAATTATCTTTTCCTTGGCACCACTGGCACTATTATTACCTTATCCTCATGTTTAAATCAAGTCACTGAATGAAAAATTAAATGAAGGTATTTATTAATGAAATTTAAACCTCCAAGTTAAATGAGAAACTTAGTACTACTTGCCCTAAATATGAAGTAACCATAAAAATAAACACTCAGAAACAAAATATTATAATTATAGTGCAGCCAGCAAGGATTGCTTTCCTTAGTTTGGCTCACTTGGTGTGCGCGCGCGCACTCTCCCTCTCTCTCTCTCTCCTTCCTCCCTCCCTCCCTTCCTTCCTTAGGGCATTTTGAAAGACTAAAAGAAAATAGGAAGAAAAAAAAGCCTCACTTTGCAAGCCTGTTTTCAGAGCTATATCCATGTACCACTTCCAATCACTGCAGGTCTGCAAAATGATCCTACCCATGCTCTAATTTTCAGCCTCCCCCATAGCACTGGATCATGGAAGTCACTTGTTCCCGGATGCAATTAAAATATACTTTTCCTCAGTTCTGAGATTCACTGAAAAAGTATCTATAATCAAGATACTTCTCACCATGCCCTGGATTTTATTAGTGTTTAAATATTATCTTTTATTTTTATCGGGGAAGCTATCATTAGATTGATGACACATTTCATAATGAGTGACTTGGAGTCCAGAAGATACAGCATACCTTAGCAGGGCCAATATAAGTGAGCCTGCTGTTTGGACGCTACGACAACACAACAGCCTTCCATGTTCATCTGATAAAGACATTACAATAGCAAGGAATTATGATCCATAACCCTCCACTAGAACACTCACATATTCTTGGCCTTGAACGCTTCAGCAAAATGCTGCACGCTACGGAGCAGAGCGAGGTCCAGGGTCATTGCTTCTACCTTGGCTTTATGCTGGAATGAGAGAAAATAAAAAGAAATGATAAATAACAGCAAGTTTAGTCCATGGTATCGAGTTACAGTAAATGTGTTATGGAACATGTCGGAATTCCCCTGTTTAATATTAGACGCCCAGAGAGAATATAAATCATTGGAATGAATGGAAGAACCAGGCTTTTACTGCCAACTTCGGGGAGCATGTGAGGCTAGGACACTGCCAAGCCCAGAGGCAGGGGGTTGGGCTGCATTTGGCCCAGCACACAGAAGATCCTACGAAGCATCTTGAGGCTAACATTATCCCCTGTAGGTCCGCACCCTAAATAGTAATGAGAGGGGAACAGCAAGTTAAACCCTGGCTCACACAAGGATGCAGCAGACAACATTGTAATATTAAAAACTGTCCCCCATGTTCAAGTGTTTTTGCTAAGCCTGCAAAAAATATTAAGTAAAATTCATTGATAGAAAATGTAAAAGCAATCAAGACTCTTTCATACCACAGGACTCTGACTTACCTACATCCTAATGAGAATCCTGCCCAGGTAAACCAGAGAACTCTATAAATAGGTGTGACACATCCTAACAATAAAGCTAATGATGGCCGGTGCCACGGCTCATTAGGCTAATCCTCCGCCTTGCGGCGCCGGCACATCAGGTTCTAGTCCCGGTCAGGGCACCGGATTCTGTCCCGGTTGCCCCTCTTCCAGGCCAGCTCTCTGCTGTGGCCAGGGAGTGCAGTGGAGGATGGCCCAAGTGCTTGGGCCCTGCACCCCATGGGAGACCAGGAGAAGCACCTGGCTCCCAGCTTCGGATTAGCACGGTGCGCCCGCCGCAGCACGCCGGCTGCAGCGGCCATTGGAGGGTAAACCAACGGCAAAAAGGAAGACCTTTCTCTGTCTCTCTCTCTCTCACTGTCCACTCTGCCTGTAAAAAAAAAAAAAAAGCTAATGATGACCACTGACTGAGCATGTACACACCTTATACCTCTCAAAATCACTAAGAAGAACATGAAAGATTCTGTCCATTTATAATGTGGCATCACACATGAGAGATCACAGAGTTAAGAAGGGGAGGGGGCAAGAACTGACTCCAGGGCCAGAGTCCTCCCTGGAGAAAAACTAGACGAACTAGAGTAGAGATGTTGGGATTTGAAGCCATCATGTTCTACTCAACAGGTGCCTCCTGGCACAATTCTGGAAAGACAGATAGCAGAGTTTGCTCTTCAGTTGATGGGGTACTCTCAAACTTTAAGTTGGATAAACTTTAGAGAGTGACACTAAATGCTGCCACTTCTTTCTTTTGAGCTCCTTTACAAAGGACATAAAGCCAAGAACCTCAGGGCCCCTGCCTGTTCCGATAGGAAGAGTCCAATAAGACAAATGGTTAACTTTGGAATTCTAGTCTAGACTGTGTATTGAAATAAAACTAGGAGAATATAATGCCTCTAGGGCCACTAGAGAGATGCAAATGGCACTACTGAGAATATCCTCCTCAACCATCTCACCCAGGGATGAACACAACCTGTGTAGAGATGTTTATCGTATATGCAGCCAGTTTATCTTGGCTCTTGATGTCCTGGGCTCTAACCCAAGACTGGCACTTTGAACAATAAACATCAGGCAGTGGCACCTGGAAGCACACTGACTCGAGACCATTTCATGTTGGAACCTCAGTTTCCTCATTTGTAAAGATAAACAGTAATTTATACACTCACAGAGTTGTGAGGTAAAGTGTTATACACATAGCATACTGTCTGGAAGAGAGAAGGTGTTTAATAAATTTAACTCAAAAGAAATAAAATGTCAATGGAACCAAATTCTTGGCCTGATGAAATTCAGCCATAACAGTGGTTTGGGGCAGGTTCCAGTAGGCCATGGTGGACAGAATGGTGCTAGTGTCTCATAAGGGTCCTCCCTTAAGCCCACATCACACAGATCACCATTAGATCTTGGATGACACCTAGGTTACATCTACTAACAGAGCCTATTTTTAGCGAAAGGTGCTATAAAGTGATTAAATGATTTCTTCAATCACACTATTAGTGGCAGAAACAAAAACACAGATCTAAATTCTTGGTCTTGTAAGATAGTGGTAGATGTTCAAGCCTGCAGATTCTGGAAGGAGGAGGAAAAGCAATACGCAAGCCCAGGAAAGGGAGAAACGGCAACACATGGGTTTTGTTAGAATCTCCTAAGATCTGGGACCAGAGATGGGGTTCCAGTGTAAGCCACACCCCTCATCTGTTCAAGAGGGAAACTGCCACCAAGACAGGTGAAGACACTTGAGGAAGGCCACACTCTATACAGAGTCCAGGTCTCCAGACAAGCAATACAACCCCAGGTACTCTAAGGACGGCTGAGGATTTCTTCAGGGTGTAAAATTGGTCAAAGGTTAACACACTCCTCACAGTGATTGTTAGGTCTCATAGACACCGAAGTACCTGGATTTACATTCAGACGTAACAAATACAGTGCCTTCAGCCCTCATCCCCCACCTCACTTAACCCAGAGGGTGACAGCCATCGCCAGTGCCTTCAGCCCTCATCCCCCACCTCACTTAACCCAGAGGGTGACAGCCATCGCCAGTGCCTTCAGCCCTCATCCCCCACCTCACTTAACCCAGAGGGTGACAGCCATCGCCACACAAAGGATCTTGGAGACACTTGAGTGCATCACAAGAGCAAAGTCAAATATTCACTGTTGTGGAGGAGGTGGTATACAGACTATTCTTCCCAGCCTAATCCCCTGTGGAATCCCCAAGGGATATGCAGGTCACATATTATAAAAATGTACGTACATAGTTCCTCCATAAAACAAGAATATTCCCAGAGGGTGACACCAAAAGCAACGGCCAACAAAAATGATAGCATGGCCACATGGCTTATACATTCTTCTATATATGTAAGTTACGACTGGTGAGTTGTCTTTTTGTTCACCCTTTCACTTCAAAATGAAGCTCAGAGCTACCGCCAGAAATAAGAACAAAATCAGAACATACACACCCAGGGGGAGCAAGGGGTCACAAGCCATCAAGCAGTTCAACAAACTAATCCACAGGCTGTGGGTTACTAGGCTCCTGGGGATAGTGATTCGGGTCCTCACACTATTATTCAGGTCATTCTCCTGCCCTAGGTAGCAGGTTTCCTGTTTCTGCTACCAACCCTCAAAAATACAGGAAAAACTTGCAAGCAATTATATTAACTCCAGGGAGGAAAAGCACAGTTTTAGAATAAGGGTGTGTCTGTGTGTTTGTGTGTTGGGGGAGGGGTCACTCTTCAGATTGTCTAATAAACTCATCCATGTTATTTGCTTATTTTGTTGTGAGACATGTGGTAAAGGGAGATACGGTGACTGACAGACTGCAAAGACAGCCCATTTCAGGGGGTGGGGAGAGGTGGTGAGCTGCTGATTATTAGGTGAGGACAGGGATCCATGCCATCAATGTGAGGTTTCTTGCTCAGTCTGACAATGAATCTGCAGCTAATCACATTTCATATTCTTGGTTTAACTCATGAACTCTGTTAACTTTTTTTGGAACTAGTTTTCCTGAATGGTGACATGTTACATGTCTATAATACATTATCCACAACCACAAACTGACATTGGCATAGTACAATTTACTAGACCATAGTCAGTATCTGGATTTCACCAGCTTGGGGAGGCCTTCATGTTCTTTCCTTTGTTTGGAATAACTATGTTATTACTATATGACATCTTATCATGTGTACAGATTTGTATAACTATCTATCATCACATTCAAAATACAGAAAGAAGTGTTCCATCACCCCAAGGAACCCAGGACTTTAATTAAGAGATATTACTGTGCCTTAGTGGGTTAAGCCACCGCCTGCAATGCCAAAACCCCATATGGACACTGGTTCATATCCTGGTTACCCTACTTCTGAACCAGCTCTCTGCTAGTGTGCCCTGGCCATCATGGCCATTTGGGCAGTGAAATCAGTGGATTTGAGATCTCTCTCTCTCTCTCTCCCTCCCTCTCACTCTGTAACTCTGCACTCTGCCTTTCAAATAAGAAAATAAATCTTTTTTTTTAAAAGAGATATTAGAATTAGCACATACCATGTGAAACAAAGTTGAGATTTTGGCCAGATTGGCAAAATAAATGAACAAAAAGCCCTTCTGTATATTGGATTGGCCAACAGGTTTTAGTCCAACTTCCTTAGCATGGCTTGTAAGATCCTCTGTATCCATCAGGATGGGTTTCCATAAGGAACAGCCCAGAAATTTCCATGTTTTAATATAATTCAGGATTATTACTCATTCATATTTCATGTCCTTTCCAGGTTGGTGGACCCATGCTCATCGTGTTTAGCCAGAGACTCAGGCACACAGATCTTCTATCACTTGTTACATTACCAACCTCCACAGCAAAGGGAAGGAAATAAAGCAAACTGCATAGGGGGTCTCAAAGGCTGCCACCCAGCAGCAGATGTCATGTTTGCACATATTACACTGGCATAGAAAGTCGTGTGAACTAGAGTCAAGAAGGCCCAACTGTACATGTGAATAAAAAGAGAAGAAATGGAAATGCACTGTGAGACATGGTAACAAGTAACACATGAACAGGCCCCACGTCTACCTCTCTAGACTTACTTCAGGCCACTTTCTACTTTACAACCACACTGGTAATAGAAAACTCAGGCAAAAGCAGAAAAATGAACAATAAAAAAAGCATCTGAAACACACTATTTTTTTTTAAAGTCTTCTCAGTATAAATCTTTTTTTTTTATCTTTTATTTAATGAATATAAATTTCCAAAGTACGACTCATGGGTTACAATGGCTCCCCCCCCATACCGTCCCTCCCACCCACAACCCTCCCCTTTCCCACTCCCTCTCCCCTTCCATTCACATCAAGATTCATTTTCGATTATCTTAATATACAGAAGATCAGCTTAGTATACATTAAGTAAGGATTTCAACAGTTTGCTCCCACACAGAAACATAAAGTGAAAAATAATAGATGATTTTTTTTAAATGATGATGAAATCAGATCAGACCTATTGTCATGTTTAATCCCAGTGAGAGTCAAGTTGGGAATTGATAATTTCTTTTTTTCTTTTTTTTTTTTTTTACAGAAGATCAGTTTAGTGTACATTAAGTAAAGATTTCAATCGTTTGCACCCCCATAGAAACACAAAGTGAAATATACTGTTTGAGTACTCGTTATAGCATTAAGCCTCAGTGTACAGCACATTAAGGACAGAGATCCTACATGAGGAGTAAGAGCACAGTGACTCCTGTTGTTGACTTTACAAATTGACATTCCTGTTTATGGCATCAGTAATCTCCCTATGCACCAGTTATGAGTTTCCAAGGCTATGGAAGCCCCTTGAGTTCTCCGACTCTTATCTTGTTTAGACACGGTCATAGTCAAAGTGGAGGTTCTCTCCTCCCTTCAGAGAAAGGCACCTCCCTCTTTGAAGACCTTGAAACACACTATTTTAAAATAAACTATCAGTCTTCCATATATTTTTCCTTTCTTTCCCTGACCCCCCTTCCTCCCTCCCTCTCTCCCTGCCTAACCATCTATCCATTTTCCCACCTATCCACTTACCCATCCTTCCATCCAAACACCCCTCCATCTATCTACTCATCCATCCCTCATCCATCTACCTATCTACCTTTAACAGAACTAACTTCATATTGAGAACACTGCATCTTGAAATGCTATGTCATGTGTTTGCATTCTTCCCAAAATCAAACTCTTCTCCCTAATCATACCAGGTCACAAATTTATTATCTCAGGCAAAACAGGAACGTTATTTTAAATTATGGACACAGATGCAATTATCTATCATTTTGGAACACAGCTGCACAGGCAGCATCTCGCACACAAGCATCAAGTCATTCTTAAAAGCTCAGAAGTCCACCTGTACCTGACACCCAGGACTCAGCCAGAAAGACATAGGTAAGTTTCCCAGCTACTCCTCTCCCACTTCCCTGGGATGCAATGCATTTGTTGTTAGTTTACTGTCACTTTTAACAAGCCAATTCTTCTTGATCTATTCTTTATTAAATTCTAAAACTCATCTAAGTGATTCAAAAGCCTGGAAATGTAAAATCAAAGGGAGTGCTTGTCGTCACGCAACGGTGCTCTCTAGTACTATTTTATAACTATAAATGCATCGAGCGTTACTCATATATGATGTTGCCTGAAACCAAAGGAACCAGGTGGGAAGTGTGTGGTATTTAAACAGAGAACTGTGGATATGCTGTCATCCTCAGAAGAGGTGCCAGAGCAAGGCTCAACTGGAGCACAGCTCAGTGTGCAGCTTCACAGAAACTCTATGAATGCTCTGGGCCTCACCTGTCTTACTTAAGAATGGGTATATTTTTCCTTGCATGGCTAAAGATTTGATTTTGTTTATATCAAGTATGGGGCAAACAACGGGCCCTCAATAAATTATTATTTTTTATTATCATTAAATAGCTCAGAAAATGTCTGAATAGCTCCTCTGTAAAGGATGATATCAATACTCTGGAGAAGGAGGAAGAAATCTCCAGTTCTCAAACTCATGCATTGTATAAACCCAAAGGGTGCTAGTTAATGCCTTGGACTCGACAGACTGTCTCAGTCTGAATCTGTTTCAGCATTTAACCAGCAAGTGACTTCCTTTTGTGCACCCGGTTTTTGCCTTTGTAAAATGGGAGCAATATGTGGCTGGCGCTATGGTTCAGTAGATTAAAGCCACAGCCTGCAATGCCAGCATCCTGTATGGGAGCCAGTTTGAGTTTTGGCTGCTCTACTTCCCATCCAGCTCCCTGCTAACGTGCCTGGGAAAGCAGCGCAGGATGGCCAAAGTGTATGGGCCCCTTCACTCGCTTAGGAGACCCGGAAGCAGCTCCTGGCTTTGGCCTGGCCCAGGCCCATCTGTTGCAGCCATCTGGAGAGTGAACCAGCAGATGGAAGACCTCTCTGTCTCTCCTTCTCTAACTCTGCCTTTCAAACAAATAAATCTTTTAAAAAAATGAAGTGGGAGCTCTAATAATATCTGCCTTATCAGGAAATGAGTAATATATGGCAAGCACTTGCTGTGATTGTTTTTTGTTGTTATTCTCACCAGCATCATCAGTACTGGCACCAAAAGGCCTCACTACCCACAGATAGGGCTAACGGAGTCACCACTGGCCAATGGGTGCTATTTCACACACTGACCACGTGAGTCCATTCCCCACTGCACCCTCTATCCCTCCACAGCCTGTGCAGGTAGGGAAGAGGGGCATTTCTTGCACAGGTAGTGAAGCTGACGTCTTAAAAATCTCTAGTGAGCTGGCGCGGCGGCTCACTAGGCTAATCCTCCGCCTAGCGCCGCCGGCACACCGGGTTCTAGTCCCGGTCGGGGCGCCGGATTCTGTCCCGGTTGCCCCTCTTCCAGGCCAGCTCTCTGCTGTGGCCCGGGAGTGCAGTGGAGGATGGCCCAGGTGCTTGGGCCCTGCACCCCATGGGAGACCAGGAAAAGCACCTGGCTCCTGGCTCCTGCCATCGGATCAGCGCGGTGCGCTGGCCGCAGCGCGCTGGCCGCGGCGGCCATTGGAGGGTGAACCAACGGCAAAAGGAAGACCTTTCCCTCTGTCTCTCTCTCTCTCACTGTCCACTCTGCCTGTCAAAAAAAAAAAAAAAATCTCTAGTGCATTTTCATCCAGATAACTGGCAGAGCCACAATTCACACTATGACTCCAATCACTACTATGTACTTCAAAGGCCAGTGCAACTCACCTGTCCTGCTGCCACCCATTCTCATCCCTGGGAAACCCTTACAGCAGCTGAGGCCAACTCCAAGGGAAACCACCAGATCTGCAATTACCTCCTACAGAGGGCAGTATGCTCCTGTGCTCCCGGTCATCGACGAGGAAGACAGTACCCACACCTGTCTGGTCACTCATTCATTCACAGCACCTCTAGAGGTAAAAGCGTTTTCTACACACTCTATCACCTTTCCTTCTTTGATTTTCTCCATGGCTGCAACACCTGTGAGGAAGTATCTCACCTCTGCCATTTGTTTATCAATAATGAGAGGACAAAAAGGGTAATGTTTCATGGTTACAGGGCTTTAGAATTCTGGATGTGGATAATCCCAGTGATCAAATATACTTATAAAATAAAAAATTAGCTAAAGATCATCGTTAACTGTAAATTGCCCGTGAATCAGCTGGGAGAGTCTCAATGAGTTTTCTCCACTATCCGATTCCTCCCTGTAATAAATCCAGAGCACCTGGTCTGAGAACCAAGCTGCTGGGTATTGTGGAACACAGTGAGTACAATCCCAAGAGCATTCTTCAAAGACTCTCATCGACTAGAGACCTTGCATTGTCCACTCAGCTGCACCAGAAGGAGCAAGTGAGAGCAGCTCCCCATTACGCTGTGTTGAAAGCACTGTCACGATGTGGGTTAAAGAGAGAAGCGCGTAGGTACACAGACAGGAATCAGCAGAATGGAGGAATACAGATTTACTGAACAGGTGTAAGGAGCTCGCCTCCAATACGCTCAGAGGAAATCTGCTCTCAGGTTGGGGAGCCTGTCAAACCCAACGACAGCGCCAGCCTTCACTGCTTACACAGAACTGGCTGCTGTGCAATCTTGTCTCGGGGTACCAATCTATGAGGGTCTAATGGGTATGTGCCCATCCCCCTCACAATTATGGAGGAAGTCCTTTGTAGATGGCCCTAAAAATACCTCTCATTTACATGGATTTATTGATAAACAAGCAGCAAATATAAAGGGCTCCTACAGTACACATGACATTATATTCCTTTAACAGTAATCTGAAAAACATTTTGAAGCATTTATAAATTTCCCCACTTTACAGATGATAAAATCAAGGTTGATGGACAGATTTTAAGTGGCATAGCTAATAAGACACACATCCAGGTCTGTAACTGAGACATGGCTGCTTCCAAAGCTCCTGTTATCACAGAATGCCACATGGTGTTGTACCCCTGTTGTCACATTCTTCAGCATAAAGCACCAAGAAGATATAATGGAACTAATGACATCTATCTATTCTTATCTGTGTCTAGTTTATATCATATTTATTTTACACACTTAGAATTTACAAGAGAAGTGTTATTGCTGAAAGAGAAAATGTAACCAAGGCAATAATCTACACTCAGAGCTTATTGCTAATGGCATCCTGCAAATTCTAATCCAATGGGCCTTAATTGCATTATGCTGATGTCTCTCACCCTTCCGCTTCACACACACTCAGTCCTGTTTTATGTTCCTAATCCTTAAATAGGAGTTGTCACATTTACAACAGCAAGAGACACTGGTCCCGAGCACGGTATTGACATGACATTATTCACTGCACTACAATAGATTTCTAACTAAACCAGTTTAATAATTCATCAATATCCTACATGGGACTTCATAATGCTAATTCCTCCAATATTATTTAAGCAATGCTAATGGTAGCACAGGATGGCAGCATCTTCACTAGGAAACTTATGAAGAGATAGCTGCTTCCTTTGATTTGAAATCTTTGTACTTCCCTGTCTAACCCAAACCAGCCTGAGCAAAACTGAAGGGGTACTTGCCCAACTTGGCCAAGTCTTGAGATTCAAAGTGCAAGTGTGGGGGCAGGCATTGTGGTGTAGTGGGCTAAGCCTCAGCCTGTGGCACCCGCATCCCATATAGGTGCGAGTTAGAGTCCTAGCTGCTATTCTTCTGATGCAGCTCTCTGCTGTGGCCTGGGAAAGTAGTAGAAGATGGCCCAAGTGCTTGGGCCCCTGCACAGTGTGGGAGACACGGAAGAAGCTCCTGGCTTCCGATCAGCAAAGCTCTGGCCATTGTGGCCATTTGGTGAGTGAATTGAATTAGTGGATGCAAGACTTCTCTCTCATCTCCCTCTCCGTCTGCAACTCTACCCCTCAAGTAAATAAATAAATAT